TATTGTATTATTTGTGTATTGTAGTCTATTGTAAATGAGAAAATTTAAATGTTTGTTATTCAATCGCACTACCTTGCTTTGTCCTGGATAATATTTAAGGTAATAGTCAACTTTTATCCGTAGATAAGAACACTAGGAAATATTCACCAATAAATCGTATCCGCGAGTTCGGGAGTGTCAGGCCAATGTCTTGCAGGTTGGTGTCATTCTTTTGTAATTATTTATTAATTTGAGCTGCTTGGAATTAATCGACGTAACAACCCTAACGTTGATTGCCGTGCAAGACTCATAAACAAGATAATCGCGACGTCTTTGTATGCGTATATAACTATCTAGTTGTACTAGTAGGAAAATTACAGGCAGTACATCAAAATAGAAATTTTTGCTTCAAAAACTAAATATTACAATCTGCGCAGTAATTAAAACAGTTATGGATAGGCGTGTCGCTTGCCACCAGGTGCACGACTTGTGCCCCCGAGGTTTTTTAATGCGAATTAAAAAACCTCGGGGGACGGGGAACACCTACCTTCCCGATCAGTTTGTTGAACGTTTCAAATGTTGTGTTGTCTGTGCGTACACTTGTATTTATAATGACGCTATTTCGACAAAGTGATTTCGGTGAAGGCAGCAGTAGACACGGTGTGAATAACACGTCGACTATACCTCCTTTTCCAAGGCGAAGTTGTGAAGGCGGCAGTCGACCCTGTGCAAACGCGTCATTATGTAACACGTTGTTACCGTATAATACGAGTAAAAAAGACGTGCGTTTCGCGTCGATGTCCAAGCGGAAGCGAAAAGCGCAAACCCTTTTTCCCTCCTATAGTGGACGTACCTATATGGAGATTTTTCATGATGGCCTCAAGCCGTTCGAAGTTAATATGGTAAGTTAATACATACTTGCGTACTTATCTGAAGTTGATAGGCAGTCAGAGCTATTTTAATGTTGCAAAACGAACGACGTACCTACTTTTAATTAACCATTAATTAATCTTCAATACCGTGTGAATATGTATTACGTTCCCCTTATCACAAAGTAATTTAATGAGTCACTGTATTGTTTAAAGAAACTTAAAGTTTTCCATAGGTACTACGTAGGTACATGGATTTACCTAATTTCTCTAGAGTATTGTTATTTTCATACAAACCGAGCCAATTTTTATAGACTCCCGCTTGCAAAATGGAATGTCGATGTGTTGGCACTCTGTCCTCCCACATGTCATTTCCACGCATTGTGTTTGCTAAAGATAGAGATTCCATTTTTTATATCGCATCTTTGCTACCGCTAATGTTTTAGTTCAATAATAACTGTCTATACTTTGCTTAAATCCAGGGTCGGCGAACTAAAGCATATAAGTCCAAAATACAACATCATTCATTTAAATATTTTAAATTAATACATCTACCTGCTAAAGCACACAAGTCAATTCATTTGTTACTTCTTAAATTTGTAACTTTATTCCAAAGGCGTCTTTTTCGAATTTATTATCTCTTTACATCTTCCAACACTTTAAATAATACAAAAAATATATGATTACATATTAACAAATGAAGCACTTTTTTGACTTATGTGATTTAGTCCGTCGACCCTAGATATAGGCTTTAAGTAATGATTTTGAAATTAGCGCGCAAGTAAAATAATTATACCTAGTTCATGACACAAATATAAACAAAAAATTTACTAAATTTGTCCTGCGTTTAATTAGTAAGGTTAACTATAGTTTACAAATACTTTTAAATAATGTAGTCGCAGAATATGACGATTCAAATAAAGTGGAAATGATCGTTAAGTCATCGTTATAACAAACTGCTGTAATATAATAAAGTCTCATAAGTCTCATAAGTCGTATAAGGATTAATCAACTCTATTAGCAATTGTTGCAACGTGTTGTAGGTGTGCATTTTGGCCTCGGCTATGTCATTTTCTCTGGGTTGCGTTGAGACTGTGCACTCACCTCAACCTTGGGTTTAACCGTCTAAAATTATGCTAATGACTAGGTATATAAACTGTATCTTACGTACGTATGTGCACTATAATATCTATATGAGTGTATGCTTGCAACCATACGTAAATAAAATCACACACAGAATAAATGTTGTATATACGGTGGGCCACAGTTAAAGATCTTTCATTACTATTTGTGGTACTTTACTTCGTTTACAGTTTACACAGTGTTCAAATGGTAGTTTTTATAGCTTTGCTTATAGTCGAATTGTAGAACTGAGACACTGTTCGTTCCCATTTTGTGAATTGAGGATAATGGATGTAATTAGCACCAAATACGAAAATTGTTGACAACAACAACTAAGTCGGTACTAGTAAAAATTATATCAGTCATTTTGAATAAACTGTCTTCTGAATTACAACTCTGTTTATGATATCTGCTACCACAGCGATGTGAACTCATGATGCCGTTCGAGTGTTATTTGAGTGTTACTTGAAATATCATTGGTTACTTGTCTTACAAGGTACTTTAATTACTTCACGTGAAGGTAGTGACGTGTATTACGTATATACGTGACACAATAATTCACATCAGTCACCTTATAAAAAAGAAATATATTTTTGCAGAGTATTCTTTATTTACCTAGCAATTCAATGGCAATACAAAAGCGTGTGTATTATGCAGCGCATGTTAGTTGTAGCGCCAATGTCGAGACCGGCGGCGCGCCTCGTCACCGCCTGTAGTCGGCTGGATTACGTCAGTGTACTCGCGTCTCCGACTCTCAGTTGCCGAAAGCAAAACAATCGCAAACAGGCAGATACTGTTTAAACCAACGTTAGTCTTCCAAAACCTGCCTTTACACCTTGACCGTGTGACAATTGTTTTAAGCCCCTGTGTCAGCTGCAGTCGTGTCAATAACCCTTCGGAACGGACAAATCGTGCCAGCACCATATAAATCGCTATTTCCGTGTGTCAGATCTTAAGATTCAAGTTTAGAGCGGCTTGCGTCATTGGTTTCCGAACATGACTCGTTTTAGTGATTCACTACAAATATCTCTTCTCTGTTAATGGTCACTGGTCTCGCGTGCCGGTATAGCAAGGAACTTGCTTCAGGAGATCTAATTTTTTTAAACGGGTATTTGTGTTGAGTAGTAAAGAAAATTTATCAAAATGGATGAGGATGCAATGTGGAAAAGTTTTTACGATAAACTCCAACAGCAAAAATCTATAGAAGAACAGGAGCACGATAAAAAGTAAGAAACGTATTTTAATTTTCGAACCTTTTGTTATATAAGTATATTATTATTTTGAACAATTTTAACTAAAATTACGAGTTTGTATGAACCGTTGGTCTTTTTTTATAGATAGTATCTACCTGCACATTTGGTATATGCACTTATTCTACTATCTATCCTATACTGTCTTACACGTGTTAATGTAGGTTCGATACTAGTGATTTGAATGGATAATTAGTTGCATACCTACGTAATGCTATAATGTTTACTTGTACTAAACTTAAGCACATCGCAAATCAATGCTTGCAATGCAAAATACACATTGTGTTAAAAGTGTCTTATCAATTTAAGCGTTGGTTTATGACGTGCGCGTGTTTAAGTTTACTGCTATAGTCCATCTGTTTAGGTAATTAACTAAATGTAAACAATCTTGAGATGTCTATTTGATGAAATATACATTTATAAAATGATTTTCCCTTACCTTCACGTACAAAATACAAATACTTAGCTTCATATGAAATTGCATGCCTATTTTTATACCTATTGTTTTGTAAAGCATATGTTTCAATAAAAAGATGTATCAAGATTGTTTACATTTAGTTAAGTACCTAAACAAATGGACTATAGTGGACTCGAAAACTGCAACTAAAGTAACAGTGCCATGCCATACCTTTGGCCATGTCTAATAGCGCTGGTGTGTAGTGTAGGTACAGGTACCTACATAGTACGAAATGCTTCTTTGTTCTTATTTTTTTTTTGTTATTGGCGGCGGCGCCTTTTTTAGATTTCAACTGCCTCCGTGGCCGAACGGTTACCATGTCGGACTGCCACGCAGAGGTCCCAGGTTCGATTCCCGGGCCGGGAGAAATATTTGTATAGCCTACAATTATTTCTGTCGTGAGTTTGGGTGTAATTTGTGGTTGTCTGTGTGTGTGTCCATGGCACCCGCGACACAGGGTTTCCCTAGTGCGGGGCCATGTTGAGTGTGTGCGTTATTTATTATTTATTAGATTTCACCAGAGTAAATTATGTGGTTGTCTGTTTACCTCGGGCTATACCAACCCTGAACTTTATAGAGACAATCACCCCTCTGCCAAGGCCAATGTACGGATAACGGCATGTCTTTATTTATTTCTGAGGGTTAAATTAAACTCTATGTCGTGAATTTAACTAAGAAGGTTTAACATGTTATAGTCAAACGCTTTGCTGTGTACACGAATCTTATTTAATAATTGTTTCATGTTACAAAATTAGATAGCACAACCGAACACAACTTCTTCGTTATTATAATTTTACATTCGTATTCACGAAGTTTATTTCAAAAATAATATGACAATATGAAAAGATTAAATTTTCACATACTTCGTATGCATGAAACGGAACGTAATATTCTTAGTGTTGCATTGCTTCTACCGTTATCGACATCGAAATTGTAAAGAAAGTTATGTTGACAAGTAAATATGTAAAATATGTTGTTGATGGCATACTTATTTACACTAAAAAGATGGTTTTACTTAACGTTATGAGTACTGGCATTTTTGTTTTAAATGGTAGCCATAAACATTATTTCGATAATTTGTGTATATGTTCAGCTTAGCTGCAGGTGATTGAAGATTTGCAATAAAATTTTCAGTTATTATAGATAATTGTATGATGAGATAACAAGTGCGTTACAAATCGATATTGTACTATTGCTGCGCACTTTTATGTTACATCACTACAAATGTCAGTAACTGATTGTCAGTGTGAATACTTGTGGTGAATACTAGCGACAGTGTCAGCGAGCTTGATTTATTTTGATCAATGCAGATATGCTCGTGATGTCTAGTGTAACTATATCTTTGTCCTGTTAAATTATATGCAAAATTGTAGAAGACTCCTCTATCTTATTTGCTCGTCGTGACCTTGTCAACGTTAATAAGTTTGATAATAGTGTTTATTATATTCGCATTCACAGAAGGAAATATTTAGTTATGGAGTTAATACGCGTAAATACAAGTATGAATTTGAATAAATTTCTCATTCTTAATAGAAGATTGCATTTGCTAAAGAGCAAGGCTTACATAAATGGAGATTGGGTAAATGCACAGAGCAACAAGACGTTCTCAGTGTTAGATCCATCGACCGACAAACCCATCGGCACTGTGCCTGATATGGATGCCACAGATGCTAAAAGAGCGGTGGATGCTGCCGCCGAGGCCTTCAAAACTTGGAGAAACACAACTGCTAAGGAACGGTCATATGTACTCCGAAGATGGTTCGGCATATGCAAAGAAAACAGAGATAACGTAGCGGCTATTTTAACAGCGGAAGCTGGTAAACCACTCTCAGAATCTTTAGGGGAATTCGATTACGGGAACGCGTTTTTAGAATTCTTTGCTGACACTGCACGCCATATCAATGGTGAAATCGTATCAAGCCCATGGCCAAATAAACAGATATTAATAACTCGACAACCCCTTGGTGTAGTGTCTGTTATAACCCCTTGGAATTTCCCCTATGCTATGATTACCAGGAAAGTGGGTGCACTGATGGCTGCAGGGTGTACGTGTGTTATAAAACCATCTGAAGACACTCCTCTGACAGCTTTAGTTGCAGCTCAGTTAGCTGAACAGGCTGGAGTGCCGAAAGGAGTTATCAATGTTATCACATCGAGTAGAGAAAATGCTGCAGCTGTTGGGAAAGTTATGTGTCAAGATCCCAATGTAGGCTGCGTATCATTCACGGGCTCAACGTTTGTTGGAAAGATTCTGTATGGTCTCGCTGCTAGTGGTGTGAAAAGAGTCGCTCTAGAACTTGGTGGTAATGCCCCATTTATTGTGTTTCCTAGCGCTGACCTGGAATATACAGTAGACCAAGCCTTGTTGGCAAAATTTAGAAATGCAGGGCAAGCTTGTGTTGGTGCTAATCGATTTCTTATTCATAAAGATGTTTTTGATGAGTTCGTTACCATATTCAAGAATAAAATTTCGGCAAAAATAAAGTTAGGACCTGGTACTAATCCAGGTGCTAATTGTGGTCCTCTTATTAATGCTACACAAGCAAAAATGGTAGCATCATTAGTTGATGAGGCTGTTTCAAAAGGAGCAAAAGTGGAAATTGGCGGCAAGTACGCCAAGCAATTTGGTACCAATTTTTATGAGGCTACATTGTTAGTGGGTGTTAAACCTGATATGAAAATATACAGTCAAGAGATATTTGGTCCTGTAGCTGTTTGTTCAAAATTCAACACTGAAGATGAAGCATTGCAAATTGCGAATAACACAAGAAGCGGTTTGGCATCTTATGTCTTCACAAAAGACCTTGGTCAAGCATTCAGGATGTCTAGAGAACTGGAGTTTGGGATGGTTGCAATTAATGATGGCATTTTGTCTGCTCCTGAACCTCCATTCGGGGGTATTAAGGAATCGGGCATTGGCAGGGAAGGGAGCAGACATGGGGTTGAAGAATATACAGATATAAAATATACTCTATTTTCTGGTTTGGCAAAAGGAATGTAAGCTGTTGGATATTCATTCTATACAACAGCTGTTGTTGTTAACTCGTAAATATTATAATTTTGTCTATTGTTGAAGAGTTGTAACATATGCTGCATTTTAATATGTATTATTAGTCATGTTTCCAAAATTTTGCATTTATTTAAATAATTTTGCGTTGCATAGTACTGTGTTGTTTAAAGTGTGTCTGACATTAAAAGTTAAATACTAAGAAAATCATTCCAGTCTTCCAATGCAATGTGATTTAGTGGTAAACTATGTATTGTGACTGAAAGAGACATTTAGTATAATTATTGCAGCTCTATCTTATAAGTAGAAATTGATATTTTAAACTTAATGTTTGTATGTTTTATATATATTTCGTTATTAGGTGTTTTTTTTCTATGATAATTTTGTTCATACATAACATATACAAATAAATGTGCCATTAGATGTACCATGTTGGAGATTCAACTGATTATCATTCACTTGTAAAAGAATACTCAAAGAATAAAGATAATATTGTATTATGTAGTCTTTTATTTAAAAAAATCAACAACTATTACCTTTTGGCCAACACAATTGTACATTGTGCAATACCTAAATGAGAGTAAGTTCTGTTGATTCTATTATCTTGCCGTTTGTGGTACGTTTTCGCACAGTAATTAATGAACTTGTCTTTTTTTGCAGAATACAAGAAGTAGACGACAGTTTCTTCGAGAAATTTGGGTCCATACTAAAGGCCGTGTCACAGAGGGCTGCTATTGCGGAAGCCACGCCTTTAGCTCCACTAAAGGAGGTAGAAGAACAAGATGGAGAACAGAAGATTGAAGGAGACCTTCAGACTGTGTGTCGCTCTACTCTAGATACTGATAGCGGGACTGAAACTCTACTGGACACAGATTCGGAACCGGAAGATACTGAGAAGGTTGATTTTCTCAAAGAAGCCGTTGGATGGAATGTGAGTACCTAATTATAATTTGTCTGTTTTTAAATATGATATTCTGTCTAGGCAGACTTCATGCTCTGTATCAGAAAAATCTCAGATAGTTAATATCTAAGCATGTTTCATTCAGTGGGTATACTGAATGTGTTGCATAACAACGACCATAAATCATCAATTGTGAACTTCCTCCAGTGCGTTCCTTCAATTGAGAACTCAGCTGTCTCCTTGTTCGTAAACTACGCGTCATTATTTAATTTTTAATAGGCTAAAAAATGGTTTGTTTACCGGATTATCTTTTTCAAATTTGATTCTATGATACTATTTAGTTTCTATTTTTTACTCATAAAAGTTAATAATTGCTCAACAATACGAGAAAATAAAAATCTGAAAAGGTGTTACCAATAAACGTTTTATCGTCTCATAAAAGCAGCTTTCGTCACGTATTTAAAGGGCGTAGGATTATGCAGCACCTTATTTTTAGATGGAAATAACTGAACATCTCGGTCAGTTTTGTTTTCATCGTTCAGTTTCAATTTGAACTAGACATTGAGTTACGCTAGTCGTGTGGAAGTGGGTCGAAAGCGTAATATTCTGGATCGTAGAGACGTTAGGGCGACGCTAACCTCGAATATTACTTTCATTTGCTTTGGGCAGTTTTCCAACTGAGAATTCTACAATTGGATTTTGGTTCGTCATCAGAACTTTACCTGCGAGATCGATTTATGCATATAGATATATACTACATTTTGAAAATAAAGTATCTATTTATTCTCATTTTATATAACAATGCACGTAAGCTAAATAGTGGGTTCCCTTAATGGGCAGACGTATTTAAAGTCGTTAGGTATGTGAATATACATCGGTTCTATTATATTTGTATGTTTGACAAACATCCTACAATACTCGCAATTCTACCCGGCTTATTGTGGCAAGGAGCCAAAAGTTTCTTTTACATTTACCCCGTCATTTTGTCAACTTCCATAGGCAAGGTTGAATTGAATGACCCAAGATAACATACCTATATGTTTACGTTTCTTAATACAATGACATTCTCCTGTTAAAACCTAAATATTTCGTTATTGTATTTTGTTGGCAACTTTTCTTTTCGACTTGTGTGTTAATTTTTACAAATCTGCACACTTTTTTCGTTGTAATGGAATCAATACAGTACATGCTCATGTAAGATTGAATCATTGATATATCCAACTTTTTTATAGTGTAGGTATCTACTCGCTGGGAGTAATAATTTAATATTTACTGTCCATTTTTTAACTTATTAGTCAACGTCAAATAATCTTTATTTCATAGGTAAGCAAATTACTCTTGAAATCGTCATACTCATTAAACTGCTCATTCGTAAAGTAGCTTTCCCTGAGAAGAATGAGCAAGAAACTCTAGGGGTTGCTCTTTGCAAAGTACATTTGAATACATTTATCATTACAATATTTAATAATAATAATAATGCACACACACAACATAGTCCCGCATTATGGAAACGCTGTGTCGCGGGTGCCATGGACACACACACATAGACAATCACAAATTACCCAAACTCACGAGAGAAACTAATGAAGGCCATACAAATATTTCTCTCGGCCCGAGAATCGAACCTGGGACCTCTGCGTGGCAGTCCGGCATGGTAACCGTTCGGCCACAGAGGCAGATTAATTTAAGCATCTTAGATCGAGAATACATGAAAGAGCTAAACGGGTCACTACCACGGATTTTTGTCATCCAAATACGCAGAAGTTGTATAATAATAACCTTCAGTATAAAGTTCTTTTTGATAAAATAAAATTTAAACCTCGTAAATGGCAAATTTTGAATATCAATCGGAATGTTATTATAGAAGCACCTTGCATTTATTTAAGGGGCAATCCATTTAGGAAGACGAGAGCTAGATCAGCTAGTGTCAAGAACAGCTAGTTTATTTTTATTCCCAGTATTCACTGTGTCACTATTTTTCATAAAAAAAATATTTTTCTTAACATAAATAACATTTTCTTAAATGTACTGTGACGTTTAGTCGTGAAATTGTGTCATTGAAGTCATATCCTACCTAGAACCAGTCGAAAGTGTACTATCATTGCCTAGAACGATGTAAAAATGTTGTAAACCGGGTATAAATAATTCCATTCATGACTATCACTTAAATACAGGCTGTCCTTCGGGAATAAGTAACTCAAGGATAAGCCCAGGACCAGGGTGTTGCCCAGTACATAACAACCCCGAAAAAAATGTTTAAAAAACCGGTTCTTTTTTGTGAAATGAGCATTCTTTTAGCATTTGTAATAAATTTATAATAATGTACCTATTAATTTTATTTAAATACCTAAATTTGTCAAGAAATGTGGAGTTTTGTTAGTCTCTCTTTCACTTATATTTACCATTGCTAGTTACTCTAACTCCAATTATATGAATGTGAAATCTAAAATTAACCAAAAGTCACTGAAAATCATTTCACTCAGAAAAGGCAAACTCCTGTTTAGAAAAACATCGTTTTTTTAATGCCATTTAAGAATCTTGATTACTTTCGCCAACATTTATAATGATTTGCCATGGTAGTTCAGATAATTTTTTTTACATTATGAGGTGTCAAAAATACCTTAAAATAATTTCTGTTAACAATTTCAAGATAAAAAAAAAAACTTATTTATTTTTTGCTTCTAAAAATTTAACAATTTGGGCTTTTGGCGTTGTTCATAGTTGAGCTAAAATTAAAATTAAAAAATTAGGATAGTAAAATTTTAAAATATGTAATCGTAGTACCTAAAAAGTTGTAAAGGACGTAATTTTTCAAAATTTTTAATAGAATTTCGCAAACATATTTTCAGAATTTCAAAACTGGGCAACACCTTTCGTGGCTCATCGTTGAGTTTTGGGACGCTCTGTGTATTGTTGACAGTATTATATTACCTAACATAATCTACTTACGATAATAATACAATTTTGACTCCCGTTGCGCTCCATTGATTTTATTTTTTAAACGATCCATTAATGATTATTCATAATTCCTATAGGTATAGGTATCGTTTTTTCTATAGTTCGCCAACTTTAATACCTATGGACATCTTATACATGATTTAACTAGCCTGGAGTGCTTGCATCAATGGTTTAGATTACGTTGCTGATTTAGTTTGGCCTGGGTATCTTCAAGATGCATTTACATGCCGGCGCATGCGCATCTCTTTTCGATCTAGATTTATCATAAGAGGTTTGCATGTTTATTATATCTCCGTTACATAAATAAACACTGTCTGTATATTTTATTCGTAAACTTTGGCAAATTTTGCGATCCAAATTCTAGGGTCGGCGGACTAAAGCACTTAGGGGAGCGTGGGGGAACGGGAGCCTACTAAGGAAAACTGACAATAAAAGTCATAATTTAGATAATTTAAATTTGTATTAGTTATGAACGTACGCTTCACATATCTGGGTACTAGATAATCACAGAAAAAATGTGAAATTAAAATAAAATATTTGGTTAAAAAAGAAAAAACTAAAACATGTCATTCGCTCTCATTACCCCACAGTTCGTGAAATGGGAGCCGGTAAGAATCCCGTATGTCAAATGGGAGCCATTATATATAATCAGTTTGAAAAAAAATTAAAGTAATAAAATATATATATAAGTTAAAAAGTAATGAAAATAAACAAGAAAGTGTTAAAGAAATATCCAGTGAATATTGCAATGGGGTAAGAAGAGCCAAATAGCTCTCATTACCCGCGTAACATCGAATTGAAAAAGGAATGAAACAGTAAAAACATTTCTGTTTTTATTGTGATTTCAAGCATAACTTCTAAAATTTGATAGATATGGTGACATAGCTAGTGTAAATACAATGTAGTATCTATGCATTTTAATGCCTACCTGGGATGATGAAATTTAGCAAATTTTATAAGTGCGTAGCGAAAAACACAACCCTCTCATACGACTAAACGCGGGGTTCTACGGGGGCGCCCACGGGACTCGAATCTTGTCGAACGTTAACGAAGATATAGGAGTGCCGTTTGCACAAATACGAGCATTGGGAAAGTCCAGTTTAACACCGCTCTCATTACCCGCGGGCTCCCAATACCCCACGTTCCCCTAAGTCAAAATCCAACATCATTCATTTAAATTAATACATCTACCGGCTAAAGCACATAAGTCAAATTAATTTGTTTCTTCATAAATTTGTAACTTTATTCTAGAGGCGTCTTTTTCACATTTATCTTCTTCACGTCTATCTAAAAACCAACTTCTGACTTTACAGTGCGATTTCCAGAAGCAGTAAGCAAGTACACACAGTGTACATGCCGCTTCCTGTCTCTCCATACTGACAAAATTCAATGATTTATATTTAGCATTTTATCAATATAAGCTTTCACTGCACCAAAAAAGTAGTGACATTTTGCGTTCAGTTCTATTTAAGTACTGTCCATGAAGGGGTTCATTTCTAAAATCGTGGCACCTCAAGGAATATAGTATAGACTTAGTAGAGTTATATCAACCGCAAAATAACGTTACCTATCGCACGTAATAGTAATTTCCGTTCGTAGTAAGTAGTACGCGGTTAATAAAAATAAATAAACCGTTCTGTACCTCGTTGCGAACCTTGGCTCCTTCCTACATGTACTAAACAACTTCTGAACTTATTATAAACATTCGTAAAGGTAATTCGGTAAATGTTATTTCTTGTTTATATACCTACGCTTACATTTTAGGTTAGTGAATAGGTATTTTTCAAACAAACACGTTCCATATTCGGTAATAAAAAAAAGGTAATTAATTTTTTGTAATGGAAATACCGAAAACTTTTCAATATCATCATCAATCCATACGTCCCTTTAATGGTCGCGGGTCAGGCGACAGTTTAGACCATAGTCCGCCACACTGTGTTGGCCCAACGCGACTTGGAAACTTCACACGTTTTCCGAGGGTTATGAGCCTTCTTCAACGTGCAAGTTTCATCACGTTGTTTTTTTCTCTGAAAAGCTCATGGTAAATTTCAATTTAAATATCGCACAAAAATTCTGGGAAACTCAAGAGTTGCGAGCCCGGATTCGAACCCACGGCCTCCGTTTGAGAGGTGGTAGGTGAAACCATTGGGCTATAACGCCTTTTCTACTTTTTTTATAGTTTAGTATTCACGGACGACTTTATGGAAATGTGATTTAGTACGACACAGTTACCAAGTTTGTCTCTGTTGATAAGTGGGTGATCGACTGATCATATCAATTCTTCTATTTGTAGAGCGCAATTAAGAGGTGTTGACGTTAGAGTATCTTACGGGCAGGATGTTTATTTCCAAGAATCTTAATTGACGAGCTCTTACTCAATAAGTTCTCAGTACTATTTGGAGTTGTCAGCAGAAATATTTCTTTTAAGAATCAAACTGTATTTACGTGCCTTAGCTACTATGCAGCTGGAAGTAAGGTCTTTCGGACTCAAGTATGGCTAATAAAATTTCATGATGTAGAATCTGACTATAAAACTTTTCATAATGTGCTACTTCATAGGTTTTCTACGTTTGATTGAGGCTCATAAATCTGAACCCTCCATTAGCAGAGGCATAATGTTCGATAGTTTACTCAAGGAAATGGCGTCAGAGGTTGATCTGTGTTAAATGGAACTTTGAAATTTTGCCATTATACATGAGTTATCCCCTGTACATTAGGACTCATTGAAATTGTATATTTTGTATACACTCTTCCTCTGTATATTACGATTATTTGAAATTGTGTATTTTGTACTTTTTTCATTTGCCCCCTTAATTTCTCACGCCATTACGTAAATGGTTTAACTAACCTTATATCAGTTTATTTGTTTTCTGGTTTGCATTCACTGAGTTGCGAGACCGGTTAAGTTTAACGGTATTAGCTTTCGTCAGGGATTCCCAATGAGGTCTCAACGTGTAAACCAATGCAGTTATGAGAGCCATGAAGAAGAGATACTTTTTTGTTAAGTTCACATTCGTCTCCGCTGGCGGCGCCTTGCAAAAATAGCATCTGGCAGTGCGGTTGGAGTCCCGGCCGACAGTGTACCGGCAACTTTCGTCTGATCCGATTCACTAGTTGGCTCTTGCCAACGGCCTTTCCCACTGTTCCTACCACGAACATCGAAAATGAGTGAAGTGTCATTATAATATTAGTGCTGTGAGTGATAATTAGCAAGATGAATGGAACGATCCGACGGAACTATAGGGGTGTTAAGAAAGAACTCCTGGAAAGGCAGACTAGCTTACTCATACAGTGTATGACAGTGCGTAATGATTTTTTCTCCGTTTTAGTTATTATTGAATCTAGTAATTATAAGTAGTATAATCTTTTAAAATCCAATGATTTTAAAAGATTATACTACTTATATTAATATTTTTTATTTAAAGTTGTCGGTTCTGCTAAAAAAACTTGGTACTGGTCTAGCAGCACTGCAAGCTTTAGAATGCACATGATGCACTATTTTCTTGGAACAGTAAGTTTACTATCAACAATTTATTTAGTTTTGACTATGCTGATATTTTTAACATAACTTAAAAGCCACTATTATTATGACTCAAATTCACCACCAATTTTTAGAATACATTTAACAAGTCATCACAAGTGGTACAGTTATGTTCTCGATTACACATCGATTAAGTGGAACTTGTTAGCACTTTACAATTCAATAAACAAATATAAGACTAGGTTTCGGTAACCAACGGAGCGGGTAATCGAAAACACCATCAGATCGATAGAATTTCCCACGGCGGCGCAGTAACCCCACCGAGTTGCGAGGGTCGGTAATGTTATGAGATTGCCTGTTGTAAAGGGTATTTTGAACTCAGTTGATTGTCAATATGGTGCTAGTGGTGGTGCCGTGGTAACGGAAGGTCCCCATCCCTCTTTGATTCACTCAGTGGTGTCTGTCTCTGCAGTGCAGAAGCACGGTGCGTATTAGGAAAGTAAATGAAATTGCGCTATTACTATGATTCATCGGTAAGTTCAGAAAAATGTTAAGATAGGTACTTTGAATACCTATTAATTTTTTTATGAATGAGATCATTCGAAGGCACAATAATAGCTCAAAATGTCACGTGTGTCGCATGAATGATTAGTTATGTTTCGCGTTTTGGAAGCCATTTAAAAATGAAACATATATTTTGTTGTTTTTTCTTAGCAAAGAATAACGTAACGTAATACCACGAATTATAAAAAATTTTGCAACAATTCTGTGTTTTCGAATTGCAGTAAACCAGAGTTAGACATAGTCATAGTATTTTATTGATAACACTGATAATTCATTAAATAATAATAATTATTAACTACATAAAAACAATCAAATAAAATTCTCCTACGTAATCTATCGTAAGAAACAAAAATAGATGCATTTTTCATAAATCTATTATACTCAGCAATAAAATTATAAAGCATTAAGCACAATGGGTACGCTTGAAATATAATTGCAATAGCACAAGAATCGCAGGTATTATGGTCATTTTTAACCGACTTCAAAAAAGGAGGAGGTTCTCAATTCGACTGTATGTTTTTTTTTGTATGTATGTTACGCGATAATTCCGGCCAAAAATTTGTGAAACGATTTTGATGATTCTTTTTTTGTTGGAAAGAGGGTACCTCAGTATTGATCATATTTAAATTTGAAGAAAATATTCCACCTCTAAGGGTGGCAAACTAGGGGATGAATCCAGTTTCGCGCACTTTTCGGTAACGATTTCAATAAACTAGGCAAATAGATGTAATTCCACGGACTTTTGAGGTCGGTTTTTTTAGTACTCTGTACTGAGATTATAGTCTTTTCAAAGCGCCTCGATACGATTCTTATACGCTATATCAATCAGTCAAATTATTAACAATAAATTAGACAACTATTAATCAGTTAATACATAGCATCACATATCAATATCATCAAACAACAAGCCAAGTTTTGAGGAGAAATGTGAATGTATTCCTCTATTTCTATTTGCTGTTGGTGTAATACCTACTTTGTTGACAACCGATCAATCTATTATTTGTAAGGATGATTTTTATTAGTATTTTTAAAGTTTGGAAAGGATTAAAAAGCTCAATGATAACTCATTTTCTAGTTTGTAAACATTGCTCGGGTGTTGCGACCATACATATGTTGTACCATATAGTAAGCTGGGTTTTCAAGGGTTTTCCCGTTATCCCCCCTTAAAGTCCGTGTTGACGATCGTATGCCAGAGTCTCCTCATTTTCCTACGATGACTCGTCCACGTCTGACCAGAATTGATACCTTTTACCGGTTGTTGCAGATCGATGAACTTTATTTGGAAATACTTTACGAAATACTCCACAATGTCGGGGGATGTGACGTAGGTTGTGAAGTAGGGCAGTTAGCCATGCTGTCTTACGTCCAAGAAGCCTTTAAGATATCAAATGAAAAACACACATTATTACTTACTCAAGCAGAGGCTAAGGAACCACCAGAATTAAGACTTAATGTGGAATTAGTGGAAGCAAAGGATTTAGTGCCGAAGGATCCCAATGGACTCAGTGACCCATTCGCGACAATTTATTTGATGTCTAATTCTACGCATCGGTACAACACTTCTGTGAAAATGGGAACACTCAATCCCACTTGGGAGGAATATTTTTCTTTGTAAGTACCTCTATATTTTTATTGTTTATCAATACGTGTAAATAAAATTCAAGTCGGACTTTCGATCAATTTCAAATAAAAACAAGTGACGAATAAACAACTATTTTTATAGTCTTTTAACAAATGGTAATTTCTTATATCTAAATTGTACTTTTCATTTTTTTAAACCATTAATGGACACCATACCATAAAATTAAATATCAGAATATGATAATACGGGGCACCTCGTTTCGCTATATCTCAAACAACCAACTACGAGCTTTGCAGTCCGGTTTCCATGTGCTACCTGTGTAGTTGCTAACTATTGCCTCTCCATAAAGAAACTGATGAAATGTAATGATTGACGCTCACACATTTGTGGATGTTACAATAAAACAGTACGAGTTTGTATGAATCGTTGAAGTTTCTAACAGCATTAGTAAATCATTCATCCTACTACTGTCATAGACGTACTTTTGTTATACAAGAGTGAAGACGGGATCAGCCGATAAATACTTAGATAAAACGTAAGTATCATATTGAATCAATGCAAATTTACTGCCTCCGTGGCCGAACGGTTACCATGCTGGATTGCCATGTAGAGGTCCCGGGTTCGATTCCCGGACCGGATGAAATATTTGTATGGCCTACATTTATTTCTTTAGTGAGTTGCGTGTAAATTGTGGTTGTCTATGTGTATGTCCATGACACCCACGATACAAGGTTTCCCTAGTGCGGGGCTCAAAGATAAGTAGTGATATTTTCGGGTGCGGTATTACTTAAATGCTGTCCATAAACGGCTTAAGAACATTTTCATAGAAACATCTGTTAAGTAAATCTATATACAACGTATTTTTTGCGATCTTTTTAATCTTTCTCATGGTCTGGAGGACACAGTGATTGTATGTCACTTTATTTAGTACTGTTCGCTACACTTATAGAAAAACCATCAAAATATTTATTATATGCTTGCATTCCAAGAACATACGTATTTAGCTAAGAATAGCGGAACAAAGTAAAAGTACTAACAAACTTTACGATTGCATTAGACAAAGTAACGTGCAGACACAGCTCGTTGTTTCGCCCTTGCATCGACTTAACTTCAACAGAAACTTCGACAAACCAAACAATGTTCGACGGAATTGCATGATTAAATTTGAGTTTGTAATTCATATTTAATTACTGCTTCTGTGGCCGAACGGGACTGCCACGCAGAGGTCTCGGTTTCGATTCCTGGGCCGGAAGAAATATTTGTATGGCCTACATCTATTTCTCTCGTGAGTTTGGGTATAATTTCTGGTTGTCTATGTGTGTGTCCATGGCACCCGCAGTACAGGGTATCCCTAGTGCTGAGTTATGAGTGTGTGCGTTAATATGTAACGTGACCTCCGGATGGGTCCTCTGCCCACCAACATGAACTACGTTTACTTATCTATTCAGTAAACAGCTTTTCCGTACAAGTGTTTATTCCTATTTGAACCAAAAGACGTAAAGAATTTTTCCCGCATTCTAGAGACGTCCTTATAACAAAAGTTCGTTCTGATGGGTAGCATCGCACCTTAAACATAAGGTACACGTTTAAAGGTTAAACTCTGTATATTACTGTAGTAAAAAAGAGTAGTAGGTTAGTCAGTTATTTTTTTAAATTAAAAAGTTGTTTTTGTTTCCAGACCAATGCCGGAAAACGTTAACGAAGATTCACTTTGTTTAGAAATATGGTAAGTGTTAATATCGAGAATGTGGTGTTAAAAGCAATTAAGTATCTGTATTTTTTTCTGAATTAAATAAATCGACAAAGTTTCTTACTTTTTCATCTGTTGTCCAGTTATTAATACACAGATCGACGCTCTGTTTTAACTTCCATCTGGTATAACTGTTTTTAACTGTGATATTGTACTGCTAATACAATAGTGCATTAACACAAAAACGTATTTTTTCATTTCGAGAAAAACGAATAACTCACTTTCCGTGAAACATTATTAAAATTTTAAGTTAAAGTTTATTACAGACATCTAAACAATTTCCTACTTGCCAAATATGTTTAAAAATAAAAGGGAAAAAATAATTTCATATTTTTGAGTAAGGACTGTTTTGTTCAGAACTGGTTTACAAAGAGATTGTTTCATTTTGAGTTCTTTTTATTGTATGTATATAATCTTTTAATTGTTTCTTACAATATTCTAACGATGGTTTTGTTGACTTATAATGAATCAAATTTTACGTTCAGTAATAGTACTTACTTTTGAATTTGACATATTTTAAGTTATAACACTATAGTACCTAATAGTAGTGCGATATGTCAGTACGCTGTAGTAACTCTGTGCCATCATTTAGTTTTTTGAAAGTACTGTTAACTTGAAATACTTCTTCAAATTTTAAAAGCTATAAATAAAAATAAAATCTTTAAATAACGAACTGCATCAGTAAAAGATTTTACCACCAAACCGTCGATGTATTAAAACTGACTTCCTAATATTAACTTTTACCTAAATTTTTACCTATAAACATTATTAGTACCAATTAATAGTTTGTAAGGAAGGCCTATGTTATATTAATTAAATATAGTAAACATAAATATTTACTTGGTAATGTAGTTTGCAAAGTTGTGTTTTTACACCCGATCGATTCATATGACGTTGTATGACTTGATAAGTTTATTCATTCGGAATACACGTGATACATAAATGCTAATCGATAACCATCGTTATTTCCCATCTATACATAATTGATGCTGTTTGTGAATTCCGTGATGTAATACCCGTAATCAATCGTAGGTATACTTACTCGTATAGTCCTTTTATGTAGACGTTAAATAAATTTTATTTTTATTCTCGCAGGGACTTCGACCCAGCGGAAACTGTTAAAGAGAAAATGGGTAAAATTTTCAAGGTGAAAGGCGTAAAGGGCTTCCAGAAGTTGATGAAAGAGCTGTACGTCACGGCGTCCACGGGAAAACACGACAATGAACTTATTGGCAACTGTAATATACCGCTTAAAGTGAGTTTTTAAAAAGTAAATATAACTTTGAGTGACGGTAATATGTAATTAACTTACGGAAATCCCCGATTCCTTCCCAAAGTTACCAAAAAACCATTTTTGCACTTTACCGTTAATTATAGGTAATATAACTTCACTGACATACTTTGGAAAAACCCGAAGTTAGCACCATAGAAGGAAAATGTTCACCATATGCATCGACCATAATTATGTTAATATTTGATCGTTTTAACCTAATCAAATACTTGAGTTACGCCCTTAGTTTTTAATTTCTATATAAAATCAAGAAAAAAAATACATTTATGGAGAGACTTTGCTGTTAGAATATTTTAGCTACATCTCCTGCAATGTGGTTACCATCCCAGAACTTTCTTTTAGTGAGTAAATGTAAGTAAATTAAAAAAATATTCAAGATCAGTACAGAGTACCTACTAAAAAACCGACCTCAAAAGTACGTGGAATTACGTCTGTTTGCTAAGTTTTATTGAAATATCCCCTAGTTCGCCAGTATACAGGACTTGACACTGGATATAATAAAAATAGGTTCTCACTACGACACGACTACTCAAACTTATATGGAGTGAAAAACGCCTTGAATTAGAGACATAGCAAAATCAACCATTAAAGTAATTGCTCCTAAATTACAGTTAGGCGCTATTTATAAAAATGAATCTTCATGCGTGAACAGCCACCCTTCGAGGTGGATGATTTTCTTCAAAATGAAATGGGACCACTATGGAAGTACCCCCTTTCCAACAAAAAAAGAATCATGAAAATCGGTTCACAAACACCGGAGTTAACGCGTAACATACATACAAAAAAAAGAACATACAGTCGAATTGAGAACCTCCTCCTTTTTTGAAGTCGGTTAATGAAAATCTATGTCAAATTACAAAAAATAATAATTTTTCCATACATTTTTGTCGAGTATAAAACATTTTGCATGAAACAGCTGATTTATTTTCCGCAATTTGTCAAGAGTTTTACGATCTCAGTGGCCCTGCATTATGGGCGCTAGATAATGGTCCCAGATTCGATTCCTGGTACGATCAATTTGGAGAATGACCTTTACTAAATTTGTCCTTGGTCCAAAACCACCCGTTTTGGGTAATGCCTCGGTGTTAATTTCGTTACCCTGGAAGTAATAGTACAGAGAATTCCCTAGTTTAGGTAAGACCAGGTAAATCTTGTGGTTATCTGGCACATTATTATTACTACAATAATAAATTAAAGGACATTAGTAAATATCACCTTGTTTTGTCAAAAGATTATAAATATATGTGTGAATAGGGGCAATTTCGATAAACTTTATATTTACCGCAGTCCATACCTGCGGGGGGCATGACGATGTGGTTCAACCTTAGTAAGAAGAGCAAGCTCCGGCGGCAAGGCGTAGTGAAGGTGCGGCTCAATTTCTCCTCGGAGAAGAGTTCGCAGGTCGCTGCCCAGGAGCATCGCCACTTGCTCAGGATATTGCTGCTGCATGAGCTTGAGAGCTCCAAAGTGAGTTGCATTAGTTTCATACTATATCTCTGCGATGTTTATATAATTCTTGCCCGTGCTTATGTCAACAAATTTTCGTATTGGTTTCATATACTGCAACACCACTTGCTGAAAATGTTGCTACTGCATGAACTCGAGAGTTCTAACGTTATTTGTACCGTTACTAAACTATCTTTGTATTGTGACTGGAAATATTTTTTTAAATTTGTATTGAATTGATGTTACATTTATTTTTTTGCGAAATTACTCCACTACTTTCTTATAATTATTAATACAAAGATCGAACACTTAGAAAAAATTCTTTCGGTCCGGTCGGATTCGAACCGACGTTTTCTAGCAAACCGTGCCAGACGCTATGCCAACTAAGCCACGGAGCGAACCAGCGAACCTCACGAATTTCTGTAGTGTTTGTTTGTCGGATCTTTGTATCTGGTTTTTTCAACGACTTTTTAGCTGTAGCGCCAGTTAAGAGAAATTTTAAGTATTTCGTCACTCAGCAGATACCTTTACAGCTACCAACCCTGGCTAGAGATGTCGCTATTCATTGTATTGAAATTTCTATTGAATTGATATTCAATTATTTTTTTGTAAAATTACTCAACTAGTTTGTTATAATTGTTAATACAAAGATCGAACACTTAGAAAAAATTTCTTCGATCCAGTCGGATTCGAACCGACGTTTTCTAACTAAGCCACGGAACGAACCAGCGAACCTCACGAATTTCTCTACGTGCTTGTTTGTCGGATCTTTGTATCTGTTTTTTTTTCAACGACTTTTTAGCTGTAGCGTATCTATGAGAAATCTATGGAAGTATTTCGTCAATATTTTTTTATTCACTATATTTTTAAGTTATATTTTATTCCAAAAATATAACTTAATAAAGAAATATAAGAAATTATGGTTTTGGTCTACTTTAATTTCGAAACAACGAATGGCGACTTAAATATATAGGACAGAGGTAAGATTTCTCTGTACAGATGTGGCTAGATGGTCTAATGCGCACAGAAGGCCAACCAATAAGGCTGCTAACAGATTGACTGCATGCAGTTAATGCGTGAAGTTGAGAGCTCGACTGCGTGAAGTTGAGAGCTCGACTGCGTGAAGTTGATAACGGCTTCACGCATTAACTGCATGAAGTCGATTTCGACTGCATGAAGCCGATTTCGACTTCATGCAGTTAATGGATGAAATCGGTATCACTTCATGCAGTCGAGGTCTTGGATAACGAAGTTGATTACGACTTCACGCGTTAACTGCAAACATGCAGTCAATCTGTTAGCAGCCTAAGAACGGCGACAGCATTTAATAGGGCCTGCTTTTGCATATTTTAGGTGGCCCCATACTGGTGGTGTGGCAATTTTAGCGCCCCAGCTGAAGCCGTACTCACACAGCACGCTGCACAAAGTGGACTGACGCAGAACGACAATACCTTAGCTCAGTGGTCTGTGTACTGCACCGTTACTCCTGACCACCCGCTCAGCTTCGCCCTCTTCGGCAACTTGCTTGATAAACTCACCAAGCCCTTGCAGGCAGGTATGTAATGTGCAGCTTGTGTTTTCACCTCTTTTAATTTATACCTTTGCATTGTCTTTGGCACGCAATGAATTTTCAAAATCTCTCTTAAGCATTGTTCGTCCTAGTTTTTTTTATATATTTGGTTTTCCTCGTTATTATGGCCGTTTACAAGCGGCCAACTTTCCACAAATGAATTCTGTAGGTAGAGGTAATGGACCTTAAGTCTATATTTTTGAATTTAGATGTTATTACAAACATTGCCTTAGAATGCTGAATATAAGGCAACGGTAAAAGACATTACGTGCTATCGCCGTTTATTTCTTTTATTTAACATGTTTTATTTGATCTTAAGATTGAGTTTAAATGCTTAATTACGAGTCTCATTCTCTTTGAAACGCTCTGTAGTAAAAAATACTATTTGCCACTGAAAGTTCTTTTCCTCTCCTCTCACCTCTCACCTGCAAAATTAAATTAAATTCTTACTAGATCTATTCACATAAAAATCAATAACGCAATTCGCCGAGTCATTTTTATTTTAAACTGTAACATTCAAAAAGTACCGCTCTGAATTGTAGCTGGTTCAAATGTCCCCACACTGGCAGCGTTAAATTAAATTACACAAATTGATTTCGACAACTGCTTTCGTTAATAATTGTAAACAATTTATTTATTGCTAAAGACGTTAGCGAGTGCTCAATGCGTAATTTTAAAATATACCACCGCTGAAGTTGTTTTTGTCCAATGTCTTCTTCTGTTTTAGTGTGCTTAAAATTAGATTTGGAGCATTACTGCGTTAAAGTTTTGAAGGGTAAAAGGTGCTAGTGAATTCACAGGCACATGGGACTTGACAACTTATGTCTCAGGGTGATGGGTGTCGTGGGTGTGCCGCTCAGATCTTTGCGATTTAAAGCTCCGAGTGGCACTGCAACTATTACGGACATTCGTAAAGCTTATTATGAGGCGCACGACTTGTTCGTAGTGATGCGCGATTGTGAATGATTTCGATATTCGACTCGTTAGTAATCGCTAATCCTGTCATTCGAATATCAAATAAGTAACCTACTAATTTTCTTATTCGAATGATTTGAATGATCATTCATCACTAATGAGTAGTACTAATCCATAGATTCCCTAGAGTATTTCTGTCCTCTCTGACATCATGGTAAATACTGTTTATGTGACGGGGACAGGAATATTTTGGTATGGACATGATGAATGAGGTGTTCCGATAATCATTCGACTCGTGCACCCGACCGATTGGCATTGGCATTCGGTATTGTTAGTCATTCGAGTCGAGTCGAATGATTGCGCCCGGATTCGACTTAGGCGAATGATTGTGCTTGGATTCAATTTAGGCGAATGATTTGCGCATTCGAATGATTAGTATTAGTAACATTCAAAGTCGCGGATCGCTAACTGTTGTCCCGTCACTTGACATTATAAAAAAGCGCATCTGCAGCGTTACAGGCGCGCCACTTTTGCAGACTAGATATTGTATGAAAATGAGTAGTGACGCGGTTGCTGCGACACAATCGCGCTACTGCAGCCCTTCTACAAGCGTCTAGCTTGAAGGCGCCCTTACGCTAGAAGTAGAGCTTAATTGTTTACTTCCATTCTACAGGCCTACTGAACGAAGAGGACGTCAAGCTATTCTGGGATGGTGCGAAGAAATTGCTACCAACGTGCTTCAGCCATATTAGAAAATTGAGGAAGAAGACTGCCGGCGACAAAACCGTTATGAAAACACTTCGCGAAGTACTTAAGATCTTGCAGAAAATTTCGGTTTTGGACGCTCCGGATTCAGTCGAAATGTTCCCAATTAACTTGTATGGTTGGCTAAGGACCAAAGACGATGGAAGCAAATTGACAATATATGAAGTATTGAACCAGGCTGTAATTCAAGGTGCTTCCGATTGGTTCGTTCATATACTGGACAATAATGAAGTTAAGGAGAACACAGAAGAAGCCAGATTGCAACATCTAATTAGAGTGATTCAATTGGTCCGATCGGACTTGCAAAGGGCGATTGAGTATTACGATAAAGTTTTTGTTGAGTAAGTTGAACTTGTTTTTATATGCTTTTTTTGTACCTGTTTTGATACGGTGGTGATTTCATATAAACAATAGGCTCATTGTTTTGTAATTAATTACATGTAGGAGTGAATAAGAATAAAGTTACTTATTTTTTATAACTCATTGAAATTTAGTTCGTATGTATTTTTTGATGGATGAATTTTAACATGCTGCAAGTCAATCTGTAATTTGACTTAAATATAATATTTGAACATGGTGTTGGTTAGCGCGGTTAGCACTTTGGGCGCTAGACGATGAGGTATCTGGTTATATTCCGGGGTACACCAATTTAGGAAACAATTTTATCTAAATTGGTTGTGGTTTAGATATTCTAATAGATTCATGCAGTTAACTTAGTTAACTTAAATGAGAACTTATGGACCAACTAAATAAAGTAGATGTGTAGGCGAATATAAAAAAAGAAATATATAAAAATATAGTGCTGATGTTTTGTTGATGTGGGTGAATTTGAAACAAAACTAACACTTATAGTACAGGAAATTCTCTGGTTTGAGACCATGTAATGACTTCCTATTTGGCACACTAAAAAAGTTTTAATTTTAGAATTTAGAACACGCTTTAAAAGTTGCAAAAGCCTTACATAACGTAAACATTATTTTTCAGAGTAATGAGGTACCCCTATTCTAAAGCCCTCTATGGGATATATGAAAGTAAGCTCGCCGACTTAGTAAAGCCACAAGTGACAGAAGTGTGCAAGAGTCTCAAGCGGTTACGGTACAGCGACGATGGGTCGACGACCAGTGTGCATTTGGCGGGAGGAGTAAACGGTGCGACAGGAATGGGGACCCCACAGGTGGAATCGGAGCCTTTGGCGATGGGGACCACCTTGTTTGAACTCTATTTGGCTTTGCAAAGATTTTTGTCGTAAGTGTTCATGATATCTTACCTTATATCTTATTGAATATAATGAGAATTATACCTTACCTACTTCTGCCGCCAGGCAGTAATGTTAGCACTACTTTCGGTTTTGAAGGGTTTAAGCTTGTTGGTGAAATTACAGGCACTCTGCTGAGGCATAACGGCATAAGTCGATAAGTCCAATTATCGACTTATGCCTCAGTGTGACAGACGCAGTGGCAGTGCCTCTCAGATCTTTGTATAAAGGACTAAGTGGTACTGCAACTGTTAAGGTCAGGCGCGCTTACTATCAGGCGCACGACTTGTTCGTCCCGTCACTTGATATAGCACCTAGGACTTTTCAACGTTTTTTTATGACACTTGTGTCAGATTTTTGCTATTTAAATGCAACTGTTATGGACAGGCGCGTCGCTTGCCACCAGGTGCACAACTTGTTAGTCCCATCTCATGGTATCATAAAAAAAGAGATTTTTCGACAAGGAAGCGATATGTGCAGATCATCTACAAACTTAGAAAAAATATTATCTGTTATTCTAGTTGTCGAAGTATAAATTATTGTAGTTAATATTCAATGTGATAATTTTTTTTTTACTTTTCCAGATTAGGACAAGGTCTGAACCCGACTGATTGGGACTCCTACGCTATATCAAAATTTCACGTTTGGTTCTTTGAAGGTGTTGCTCAATGGCTCGATATCGCCGCATTCAAAGCCTTAACGAGAATCGAGAAAGCAGTAGAACTGGATAATTTAGTGCCAGTGTACACGGATGTGAAGTATAGCAGCTCATCGGTAGACACTAGGAGTATATTCAGCCAGATTAAGATCTTTTGGGAGCAACTCGCATGGCCCGAAGTTGAAGGATGTTACACTTTCGTTGCTAAGATCATCGACGTACGTAGTTTTGTAACTTATACTTCCTTCTATATAATATTTCAAGTTTGCAGTGCCTAGTGTATCAAGATACATGAGTTCGGCGGTTATTTGTTTTTAACCGACTTTAAAAAAAAGGAGGAGGTTCTCAATTCGACTGTATGTTCTTTTTTTGTATGTATGTTACGCGATAACTTCGTTTGTGAACCGATTTTGATGATTCTTTTTTTGATGGAACCTCAGTATTGCTCCCATGTAAATTTGAAGAAAGTATTCCACCTCTAAGGGTGGCAAACTAGTGGATGAATCCAGTTTCGCGCATTTTCCGGTGACCGATTTCAATGAAACTTGGCAATTAGATGTCATTGAGGTAGTTTTTTTAGTACTCTATACTGATTTATATAAGGCTAAGATTATCCACGTAAGTATTTGTGTAACTTGTACTTACTCCTTTTTGATACTTCCAGTTTGCAGTGCCTAGTGCATCAAGATATTTGAGTTAAGTTTGAGTTTCCTTATAAACAGAAACCGTACTTCATCTTACTTTTCTATTGGCAATGCGTGAATAACTTTGAAGTAACCTAAAAAGTAAATCTTCAGCCACAAGTAATTATGGTCTCATTTATACAAGATGTAACCAGTGTGAAAAATAAGTTTAACAATATTTATTTCAGGACATTTGTCGTTGTTGCGTGTTCTACTCAGACAAGATGGCGAGTCGCGTTGACAGACTAGGCACTGTTAGCACTGTACACGAGGAACGCTTCGAAGTGACCACAGAATGGTGCATAGCTATCAATAATATTGACTTCGTGAGACAGAGTTTACAACCGTACGTAGAGGAACTTGGCATGGAGGATATTATTAATAAGATGTGTGAAGCCAGAAGTTCACTTGAAGCCCAAAGGTAAGTTGATTTGCGGAGTTACATTAAAGTACACATCGGGTTATTCCTAAAAAAGAATGCTGAACATTTTTGCTACACTACATTTAACTTTCAATTTACAGGTGCAAAGAGACACTCCAGAACGTAGTAGCAAACGCTATAGATACAGTGAAAAATAAAATTGTTGAAGTTATTGAAGCACTTATTAAAAAGGTAACGTATATTTGACAGCGTGTATGTTTTACGATATCTTGTATCTGTCTAATAAGAGAATTTGTATTCTTTTTAGGAATAAAAACCCCTAAAAACCGTTATTTTACCATATATTTCTTCCTAGATGTCAAAGCGATATATTTATAATTTTAGTACATTTCCTGTTCTATAACAAATCTTCTGGACTTCGATGTCACGACTTACAATGTTTAATTTATTTACATAGGCTGTTCTTTCTAATTTTTTTTACTTTGTCATTTTCAGATGATGCCATCCATTACTCGTTTCCTAGTGGAAGGTGCGGAACTACTCCACCAAGACTGTCTAAGCATGGACCGTGTTATGCGCTATCTAGAACAAAATCTTGATACATTAAACGAGCATCTAAGTAACGAAAACTTCTCAAGAACTCTTGACATAGTCTGGGAACAACTTGGCGAAGTTTTGTATGAGCTTATCCAAGCCAACTTAGAGGTAACTTGTGTTCATATTAATTGTATTTCATATTAAACGTTATTGTAGTATATTTTACTAACTGTACATTTGCTAATTAACCTTTGTAGTATGATTTTAACTTTTAAAATTTTTGTACTAATATTTTTTTTTATTGTGGCATCCAGGATCGATCGATTTTTAACTAGCTAAAACTATTTTGGGGAGTGTTCTACTAATGCAATGAAATGTGTTTAATTTGGATTGAGTGTTTTATAAATATGTAAAACTTCGAGAGAACTATCAAATTAAGCGTCCGTTTGTGCATAACTTCTGTTTCAAAATCGTGAGAGTAGCCAAAAAAAAAGACATTCACATAGAAAACTGAAGTGAGACTCGGACATATTAACTAAACTAACAAGTAACTCACCTTTGAGTCGAATTTTTGCTTGACTTATTTCGGATCAGTCCGTGGTCTATAATCAACCAATTTTCGCCAAGTCATAAACAACCAGGGAAGCTGATGATTAAAGGCCAAGGACTGGTTCGAAACATGTCAAGCAAAAAAAAAAAAGAAAAAATCGACTTAAACGCGTGACCTATCCGTTAGTTTTGTTAATATACATTTACATAGTAAAAAGAAACTCGTTAATTATTCAATTCTATACTAATGTATTACTGTGTAGTGCCATTAAAGATCGCTTTTTAGAACATCTAATGCAAGTAGTTCATTATAACCACGTTGAACAGTAAATGTCTTTTTAACAGTAACTAATTTTGATTGTAGCAAGAAAAACTGGTCACGCGATTCCGCTTGATTAGACGTAGATATTTTGGGAAAAACAAAATATCACCCAAACGTAATTTTGTTCGGGTAAATAATACTGCATATGTTATGCACCGCAAAATACTCGTTAAATGCACGCTGTCCTTTACAACTATTTGTTAGAACATTAATTAATTAAAAAAGACTTCGAATCTTTGTGGATTAAATTTCAGCTGATATTTGAATGATTTTATAAGAAGAAAGTAATTTAGAAACGTGAAGTATTTTTTAAAGAATAGCTTCAACAACTGTAGTTTAATATTGTACTAACATATGCAAAATTTAGTTCACGGTAGCTATCTAAATTAGCTTAGAAGCTAAGCCTTTATAATATAAATAATTAAATAAAAGAAGTTGATTAGATCGATCTTATTAGGTTTTCAAATATCTCTGAAACTTAAACCATCGAATAAATGATGAGTGAAATTTTTTGTTAAATTAGGATAGTGGATATTTCAAATTTTTTTTGTTGTTTGCTAGCACCGAAGGGCAAAGATTGCTCGCTTTATCGACCCCAGGCGCCTGAGCAAATCTGCTGCCGCCAACTTAGACGCGGTAAACACGTAATTAGTCTAGAAAGCACATTGTACGACTTAATTGTTTCTTGTAAATGTGTAGTGGTTAATGTTCCTATATCTTTGTAGCATGAATTAGAGCAGTTATCGAACTCTCTTGATAATTGGAAATTGAAATTGTACCTTGTTTAGTATGTTGACAAGTTAATAGACACACTTTCCAAACTTTTCGGGTGATTATTACTCCATAGATTTCTTTGTTGTGGCATTATTGTAATTAAAATTTAATAATAATAGAAAAATCAAGAAAGTATGATATCAGAGGAATGCTACAAAGAATAGACGTTACTCGTATAGTACAGCTATCTAAATGTATGTCTTTAGAATGTCAAATGTTGCTGGTCTCTTGCTTGTTGTACTTTTAAATTGTTTACTAGTTGATTTCAAGTATTATAGTGTTAATGTTAAAATATTCATTTGTTTATTGACTATTTTCTTATTCGTGGTCGGTATCGTAATTTAGGTCCAAAATTTTCACATTCTTATATGTATTCTCCCAATAGTATTTAATTTTTATTTCAATAACTTCGTATGTTTCTTCTAATATTTGTTATACTTTAATAAAAATAAAAGTTTTATTTCAGTTTAATATCATTAATCAATACATTAAACAATTTTGAATTGAAAGAATCTTGTGCTTCGTTTCTCTTCAGCATATTGTTCATGTTTGCATCATGTTTTTACTATTTACACTATTGCATGTTGCATCTTTTTTGTTAAATGTCATGCACGGTGGTGGGTATTTCGGGAATTATGGATGTGAGAAATGCAAAAAAAGAAGGATTAAAATGTACATTCTTTTATTGTGTATGTAACGTGAAATTATACAGCACACAGCAGGTAAACATTATAAAATAATAATATCTTTACAGAAACGCCGCCCGCCATCGTTCTTTTCGAATCTCCATGAGTGTTTAAAAATAATGATACGATCCTTCGTACAAGTTGATAAGGAAGCATATACGTCAGACACGTTAAAGCGCGTGGAGTATTTGTTGAAAATACATGGCATGGAGACAAGGGAGTTGATACATCAATATCATTTAGAGAGATGGCAGGAACAAAAGGCCATTACTGACCCTAAAATGGGAGTGCTGACAGTCAGAGCTCAGTTTGTAGAAAACAATTTGAAAGTCGAAATTATGAATGCTAGAAATTTACTGCCTACTGATTCCAATGGTGAGTATCCTTGTTTAAATATATTCGTCAATTGTAACAGTGATCGTGTATCCTCGTCGTATGACCTCGGTGGCCCAATGGTTAAACATATTGGGCCTGGATTAGGAGGTCACAAAGTCAATTCCTGGTAGGACCAATTTTGGAAATGAACTTTTGAGACCAGCTGATTTGTGAGATTGCCTGGCACATTATTGTTATTGTTGGGTAGTTTATCCGGAAAATTTCGATTAGGTAGTGGAAATTTTTCACGAAACATTTTGAAAATTGGAAAATAGGCAGTTTCTACGTTTAAATATATTTTTTAATGTTTTATTTAGCATGAATTATAAAATAAAATTGTTTAAACATTGTTAATAATGTAATTTTCTAAACCCGCTTGATAACAGAGTTCAGTATCTTCAACTTTTGACAGGGGTCACTGTCAAATGTGGAAAAATATAGGAAATATATATTACTTCAAAATGGAAATTTTTCCATGCCCCAACACTTTATATCACGCCTCAACATTTCTTCTGTCGAACCTATTTGTCGTAGTATTGTTGGTTAGTGCTTATAGTGTAAACACTGTTTGCTATGAAGTCAGTGAATTGTTACACTTTTGAATTTATAAAAACCTTTTGATTAGGTTTACTTTGTTTCTGGGTTATCCCCAATGCTTTTTAAATTACAATCTGGAGCAGAACACATGTTAAACAATTGCGTTGCACTTAGGGTCGTCAAGTCAGGACTTGAGTATGATTCAAAGCACTCGAAATCATACTCAAGTCCCTGCCATTAGGGTCGTATTTCCAGTGCTTGTGTTTCAATTGCAATCCTGACTTGAGCTCTACTCAATGTAGAGTTCTAGAATACGACCCTTAGACTAGTTTCATTCTGTATCTTCCCAACCCTGTTACATGTTTTTTAAATATAACATTTTAATAGCAGTAGAGCTAGAGCTAGAACTCCTTGTGAAAGAGTTCGTCCAGGGAAGTACTGCCACGTTACCTATTTCTGCCGCCAAGCAGTAATGTGAGCATTACAGCGTCTCGGTTTTGAAGGGTAAGGATGCTGGTGAAGTTACAGGCACATTGGACTTATCGAATTATGCCTCGGGGTGACTGACGCAGTGGCAGTGCCCCGTAGATCTTTGTCATATAAAGCACTAAGTGGTAGTGGAACTGTTGTGGATAGGCGTGTCGCTTACTACCAGGCGTACGACTTGTTTGTCCCGTCACTTGGCATTTAAAAGAAACCAGCAGGTATATGTATTTAGAGCACTGTAGCCAGTCGTGCCTTTATACCTAGACACTTTCAGGTTGCTTATGAAGGCATGTATTTTTTCTTAAAGGTTATCTAAATGTCTAAGTAAATGGTGCGGTAGTTCTGTAACGCTGAACGAAAGCGGTGGCAAGTTCACTGTACGAAGAAACCATAATATATATATATATACAGGAAAAAAACAAGTATAAATGAAGTCTACTAAACTCATCGAGTATATATAGCCAGAAATAGAGACGAAATGTTATTTAATTTGTTTGAAAACTATTCTGCTGTATCATTAATGTCACAACTGCGCTCCGATTGGCCAGCCCGAATTCCAATCAATTGACGTGTGCCACAATGGGTATCGTCAATTGTTTCACTTCAAATCGACCAGTTAACTTGAGCTTTGCTATAATGGACGAAAATACATATTTAATATTTAATTACCGATGAAATTTGATTCCGTTTGTTTTGTAATTAGATGTTTTCCTGTTTTTTCCCCACACCACCGAATGGTACAGCACGCCATTGTTTGAGATATTATCTTTATTACAATAAATACAGAATATTTTTGGAATATACGGAGACGTATAACACAGGTCAGTTGTTGGCGCTGCCTATATTTCAGTGCAAACGAGTGTTGATATTTATAAGTGATGTATCACTGATGAGTTATCAGGAATATATGGCTCTTATTTCGTTTCTATTTCTGGTTATATACTCGATGACTGAATTACTCGAAAACAAATGAAAATCAATTCCCAACCCATTTGGCCAGCTCGGTGAAACAAGGCCCAAGTGACAAATGCCCATTGATGGGACATTATATTTATCCGTCACTTGGTATCATAAAAAAAAGCAAATTACATATTTTATTAAAGTTAGCTAGCTGTTTTTAGATGGTGTATGTGCAGTTCATGTTAGTGCATTAATATTTTGAATTCTTTGCAATTCGTTTATGTATATGAAACGTATATATAAATGTTGATTTTTCGTTTTCAGGACTATGCGACTCATATGTTCGAATAGAGCTGCTGCCCGAGGATACGTTCGTCAACGTGATCAAATGCAAGACGCAGACGCATAATAAGAATCTCTTCCCGTTATATGACGAGATGTTTGTGATGTATGTTGGTCTTATATAATTTTAAAGACTTAAGCATGAGTGGTGGCCTAGTAAAGTAAACTACCAGTACCAGTAATCGCAAAAATCTTTTTACCATACATTTTGTAGGGACCTATTTAGTAATCAGTTATTCTAGGTAGTTAAGGTAACTAACAATAAGGAAACTAACAAATTGACAGCATATTATGTATTTCAAAATAAAAACAATAACGAAAAACAAAATAACATAAAAAGTCTATGATAGTAAGTGCTCGAATTGATTAACTGATGCATCGATTCGCTCTCTTCCGCAAAGAGCAAGTAGCGGCTGAAATTCTACTCAGATGGATGCTATTGAAAATTGCTGCAAGTGCGTCTTTCAATTCTTGAACACTGTTGTATTTTTTTCATAAATTTAATTTTTTACATAGCCCCAAAGAAAAAATCAAATGGCGTCAGATCAGGACTACGCGGTGGCCATTTGATAGGACCATGTGTTCCAATTAATTTGTTTCCTCGCTTGAGAACATTTTGATTAAAAATCGTCTTAAAAGTGACAATTCTCCATTAACAAAACAAAACAGTTCCAAATTTAAAAAATAGTGATATGATTATAATTTGGTTTTACTTAAGTCTTATTTGTAGAGTAGTGGCCAGTTTCGTTTCTCACAAAAACTTTTCATTTAAAATGTGTGGTAAAAGATTTTTTGCGATTTCTGCCATTTCGAGTACTCTTACCTCAGTTGGTCCCATAGAGACTATTGATACCTAGCAGAGACCGGATCGAATGGCATAAAAAAAGTTTTGTAAAAATTGCCTTTTATCTGGCTGACTGTACCATTTTTTCAAAATCTGTGAATGCCAATCAAAATATCTTCAAAATTCATGGATAGTCTTCTAGAACCGTTTTCCTGTAATTACAACGATTAAGGTAGCTGGCCTTGCTGCCCCGTCTCAAATTTACACCCTGTATACGACTAAAATAACGTGGGCGTGTCCCTCGATAAGAAGTGTTTCACATTTTTTATATTATAATTGGTCGCATTATTGTTTCATTATGTAGAACGAAACATGACAATCATTAAATTTTTGTTATAAATTTCTGAAGAAAAAAGTTTACAAAGTCTGTTTCTTTGTTTACCAATTTCTGGTGTTAAAAAAACGAAGTATCGTGTGGGGTAAATAAAACGATAGTTTTTTGTTTCTTGCAGTCCCCTAAGCCCTGAACAGAAGCACACCCCGGACGGTCTTATGCATCTAGTGATAAAGGACAAAGACATGTTCAGTATGAGCAACACGTTCGTTGGGGAGGCGTACGTCCGCTTTACCGAGATACCTGACACGCCCGCGCCGATATCAAGTCTTCCTCAGCAGCATTTGGCGCTAACCAGACCGACCAATATAGGTAAGACATGTTCATTTCCTGGTCATCGTCATCCACAGCCGATTAGCAGTAGAGCAGCTGAGTAGCAGCCCCATATCTTCTACATTAGTTTTGATTATAGTGACCCTCCTGACCCTCCAGATCCTGACCCTCAGAGTATACGTGAAGGGTACTATGACCTGCGCGAGCATGACCATCTAAGTCAGATCCTAACCCCAGATTAGCCCGTTTGCACGGACTTCATCCTAACGGTTGCCATCGCTGAGCCGTCTATTCTAAGCCGACTATCGAAGCTCCTCCTGTTTGGTGGCGGCTGTAAGGCACGCTCGCTTCCCGACGCCGAAAAACAACGTCTCCAGTTCCCAATTCCTATACGGTTGGAGGCTCCGGAGGATGTCTAGCTCATCCTCTACTAGCTCTTCGGGCTAGTGCCGGAGATGCCGATAGCAATGTCCTGCGACAATGTCCGGACATAGCTGACGACTTAAAAGGCAACTCATGTGCCCCGCGCGTCTCCTCGCCATTAGGACCTAATAAAACGCGGTAGCCGCGCGCGTGACGAACACCCCGACTACATGCTAACGGGGCTGACGAACGTGTTCATCCCTGCAGCTAATCACAAACCCCGGTGAGTTCATAACCAAGTCCGGGTCTGCTAGAGACGCCCGTGAAGGCGTACCACTGGCGGAAGGCTCGGCCCAGACGCCTGCCGTATCCTGGTCGTACCGGGGAGCCCGTAGTCTTCCCGGAAGGCCCTATCTCTCGGGTCAGTAGATAGGTAGCAGTGATGAGTAGCAGTAGAGCTCCTTGTAAAAGAGTTCGTCCAGGGAAGTACTGCCATCTTACCTATTTCTGCCGCTAAGCACTAATGTGTGCATTATCGCGTTCCGGTTTAGAAGGTTAAGGGTGCTGGTGAAATTGAAGGCTCATGGGACTTGCCAACTTAGTGTCACGGTGACGGGCGCAGTGGCAGTGCCCATAATCGATCTTTGCGATTTAAAGTTCTGAGTGGCACTACAACTGTTATGGATAGGCGTGTCGCTTACCAACAGGCGCACGACTTGTTCATCCCTTCACTTGGTATTATAAAAAAAACAGCTCGACTTCATCCACTACTGGCTATAGGCATAGTATAATAAGATAATTAGTGTAACTGCACAGTAATCTATCAGCGTGGTTTGTCTGTAAGTGGAAGTGGAAGTATGTACACTCAGGTTATTAAATAATGATTTCAGACGGCGACGCAGTGAAAGCGTTGGAATCGCGTCCCGGCGACAAGCAAGCCCGCGACTTCATCAAGAAACAACGCCAGAAGATCCCCGGCAAGCAGTTCTTCTCTCTCAGCTGAAACTAAATTACATAACACCTAAAGAATTATACGTAAAATCATCTATCTGTACTGAGGCTGACAATTTTGTGTTCCTCTACTATGAAGCAGAATTTTAAAAAACTCAAATTTCTGTTACTTAATGATTTAAAAGATATGTACATAATACATTCGCTTGTATGCATTCATAAACGTAGAGAAATTGTTGAATTGTTAAAATACTTCACCCATTATTATTTTAATGGTAAATACCATTATTTGTATATAATAGTTTGGAATAAAATTAAATTTTAATTTCGCATCGTCAGGACAAAGAAAAAACAAATAACAATACATTCAAAAGTGTTTGTCAGCCTTTTGCAGGATGTTCATTCTGTCTGAATGCAATTTGTGTGAAACTAACTAGAGATATCTATAAATGTCGCTGTCCTTTTCGTTTATACTTTCTCTGTCAGTTTCACTAAACATCGTGCAGTGTAATCTTAACTAATTTAGAGCATAGGTACAAGAGTACGTCAAGATTTTTCAGGTGCACTGAGGATAAAACGGCCCAAATTCCAAAGTGTGAACCTTGATGTGTTCTATATTGTACATGGCCCAAATACTGACCAAATGACGTACAGCAGTAAGATTTGTAATTGAAAAACTAAATAACTGCTTACGTCGATCGAAATTAAACAAATTATATTTATGTTTTAAAACACAAATATAATATTTTTTTTATATTCTAATGAAAAAATCGCGAATCGGTGAACTGTGTGATGAATTTTACAGCGTTGGGATGTGCAGCTTATAAAAATATAACTTAAGTGTTGAAGAGTGTTAGGATACACTTGTAAACTTGGGCCAGTGAAAAAGTGAAAACCGACAGTTATGTAGGTGCGCCAAATTCAGTGGGAACATGCAAAACACGCATACGAATTTTACAAAGCTTGACCACTTCTGCCCTCCTTGTCATAACCAACGCATTTGCATTTCGCTAACTTTCGAGATATTGGCATCTACATTTTTACGGTTACCCAAAAATGTCAACTAAGTTGACTGAAACTATTATGATATTAAATAACCGATTAGAGGGGGTTGTAGATCTTGTTTCGCTCACAGATTCGATTCCAAATATGCTAATAACTCAATTTCGCTAAAAATGTCGATTACCTTAGCGTAATATAATAATTGAATATAATAATAAAATAAGGTGGGCAGAATTTGTGATCAAAAAGATTAAAGGTCTACTAAACTAGTTGGGTAGCTATTTTATGAACTTATTGAGAAAGTACCGAACTGGCTATGCTCGCCTTTTGTCATATTGAAATATTATCAATGTATGTCATGGTAAAGATATAATGTCGGGAATAATATTATTCAATAAATGTTTAATAAAAAAAACTGATATAACTTATACATACATACAATAAATAGTTATCAGTACATTAGTATTTCGCCTTGGCGGTCGTTTTCTACTTTTTTATTGGTCTTATATCGTAAGCAATAATGACTCGCTTATAGAAAAGTAAGCAATATATGTATAGACTGATATGAGGCCGCTTAATTTTAGAGTAAATTACTACTTAGTTCAGTTTGTTACCAGTTCATTTAGCACAGAATCTCGACCTTGGCTAAGCCAAAAATAGAGCACATTTTTGTTGAATTATTTTGACCAAAACACAGTTCGAAATTATATAAAAATTATATATAGTTGGACTAAAGATCTCATTAAAGCAGAAACTTCAAGATTTAGTAATTCTAACTGAACTCTAGAATTTTTTGTAAGTTTTTAGATAATATATTTATCGCATAAAAGTATTGATGCGTTTGTGGCAGAGTATTTATATTTGTTCGCCATAAATGTGTTATGTCCTAAGTAAATGTAGACTTAATTATTTATATTCACTGTGTTTATAAAGTGGAGAGGGAATATGTAATATGGGGTGCTAAAACGTGACATATTCATTGTAAAACAAATGTAGTGTGTTCTAAGTAGTTATTTTCTGTGATAAAGAAATGTGCCTTACTTTATTTCTTTAAACTTCTCACTTTCAATTTTATTTCTTTTGGTGGTATTGTTATACAATGAACTACAATGGTTTATATGCGACATTATAAATTTTGAATAAACATACAAAACAAGCAATATCAACTTATGTGGTTTATTGTACGTTCCAATTTCTTTTTACTTCATTATAATGCCCGAGATTCTTTATTTTCGTTATATAAGTTTTCAGTTATATGAGATGCCTTACATACAAATAAAATCTTTTTTATAAATACACTGTTTCATTAATTTTAATAATATTTTAGTACCTTTTTATGATACCAAGTGACGGGATGAATAAGTCGTGTGCCGCCTGGTGGTAAGCGACACGCCTATCCACAGCAGTTGCAGTGCCACTCAGAACTTTAAATCGCAAAGATCTGAGGGGCACTGCCACTGCGTCCGTCACCCTGGGACCGGAACAGCAGCAGTTTTAGTAGCAGTAGAGCTCCCTGTGAAAGAGTTCGTCTAAGTACTGCCATCTTACCTGTTTCTGCCGCCAAGCAGCAATGTTAGCATTACTGTGTGCCGGTTTTGAAGGGTAAGGGTGCTGGTGAAATTACAGGCACTTGGGACTTGTCAACTTATGTCTCAGGGTGAAGGGCGTAGTGGCAGTGCTCCTCAGATCTTTGCGATTTAAAGATCTGAGTGGCACTGCAAATGCTATGGACAAGCGTGTAGCTTACCATCAGGCGCACGACTTATTCGTCTCGTCACTTGATATTATATAAAAAAAAATAAGTTACAAGTCCCAAGTGCCTGTAATTTCCCCAACACCTTTAAAACCGGAATAATGCTCACATTACTGCATGGCGGCAGAAGCAGGTAAAGTGGCAATACTGCTCTGGACGAACGTTTCCACAAAGAGTTCTACTGCTATTGAAACATAGCTATGAAAACGGCAAAATTTACAAGATTTTTATCAAAAACCTTTTATAATTATGGCCGACTTTTTCAAAACTTCTACAAAATACAATATCAAAATGGTATCAAGAAAAGTGGTTTCCGTGCTTAATCATAATATACTAGTTATAATAGCTCTCGTCCAAGTCGCACGCACACATACACTATTACTATAGTAATTTACTTATAGGTATGCTATGAATATACATGAATGATTTTTGATTTTATCCTTCACGAGATCAGTGCGTGCTTGTATAAAAGAGCACACGTGGTCGATGCGGTCGTTTACGGCAAATTAATTACGTACCGACTGCTCAGGGTACCTATTATTGCTTCATGCATATAAAGTAATAACTACTACCCCTGGTACTGTAGGCTCTGTTTCCATTCTCATACGAATATACGTACTAAGGTTTTAAAGCGAGATTTTTGAGCATTGTTACAGGACAGTTCTGCCTTATCAAAAATAACGTTTTTTTTATAATACTAGGTGAAGGGACGAACAAGTCGTGTGCCTGATGGTAAGCGGTACGCCTGTCCATAACAGTTGCTGTGCCACTCAGAGCTTTAAATCACATAGATCTGAGGGGCATTGCCACTGCGCCCGACACCCTGACACCTAAGTTGACAAGTCCCATGTGCCTGTAATTTCACTAGCACCCTTGCCCTTCGAAACCGGAACGCAGTAATGTTCACATTACTGCTTGGCGGCAGAAATAGGTAAGGTGGCAGTACTTTTCTGGACGAACTCTTTCACAAGGAGCTCTACAGCTACTAAATACGTAATCGTCGTCGAATTTAGCGAAATTAAGTTTAATATGTATATGGAATTAGCAAAACGAGCTACAATCCCTTATTAACGGCTTTTTTATATGTTATTTAGTTTCCGTTTCATTGTTAATAATCTCGAAAGTTACCAAAAATGCTAATGCGTTAGTTACGACGAGGAGGGCAGAGTTGCTTGCTTTGAATTATTATAGACACTTAACGAAATTACCTACTCCGTACGCTGTATGTTCACAAAGGCATGATCGACAAAGACATGGTAAAATAAACGTTAAGTGGTAATATGAATGGAAGTGAGATTTCCAGAACAATGAGTTTATGATACCTACCGACCGTGTAAATATGTTTGACAATACTATAGGGGAAATAGTATAGCACCCCTTGTGACTGCGAGAAGAGCTACACTGTTCTATAGAATGTTTTTATCATTAAGCGTTAAAATGTAAAACGATCTGTGATCTAGGAAAAAGATTTAAAAAATTATACAATTTAAAGTCGCAAACGCTTAAAAAAAAAACTTTATATTGTACGAGATACGGGGTAAAAGGTTAGATTATTTAAAGTGGTGCTTTTGCTCAAATTATCGGGCATTCAAAATATTATTTCTTAAGGTAAGTTCTTACCAGCAACAGTAATATGAAGAGAGCTTTTTGTTTCATCTTGTCTAAATACCAAATAATTACTGTAAATATTATTTATTTAAATTACAACGTTTGCTTAGTTATTTCTCACGTTTAGCTCTCGAAGGTTTAATCTTTCCCAAAAGAAATAAGGCTTGACTTTAAAATAATATAAAAGTAAGCGTGGTATTAATTTCTATATTTAGCGTTGGTTTTTTGCCGTCGTCACACCTAACACAGGCCATTGAAAATTAGAATCAAATTAATTAGACAGTCGCATGCGGCTATGTATACGCCACAGTATACGCAAATTAACGGTAACCTCAATATGCAGCTCCAATGTTACAGTTCTGATTTCAGGTAAATGGAGTTCTCTGGGATAAAGAGGTTCGCCATAGTCGCCATTCTCGTTCTGGTGATCATAATAGAACCTATCATACTGCAGTCTAATAAAGAAATAGATGGCTCACTGCTTGTACTGTACCTCTACCAAGAGTCAATAGTGTTAAAGTCGTTAGAGACCACGCAAAATGTTTGTATTGCTAATTGTACCCCTCTTCGTAATCACTAGAAAAACTAACATTTTCCATATATCGTCTGCTTGAAGTTAAAATCACACAAGTGACATTTTCCACAAAAGCCACAAATATTTATAACCATGGTAAGAAAATCACGATCTTTCTGGAGGAAAAACTTAATAATAAAAATGTTGTGAATAAATTAATAAAAAAGCTCTAAAATTACACTTCTACCAACCAGCTATGTAATTTAATATCATTTTTAAGCGACGATATAAACGTATGGAACAGCGTCTCTAGCGACAGAAGCACTGTAAACAGAAAGAATTGACATCCTTTCATTAATTTTCTCCAATAACCTGCAAAAATAAGAAGCAATTCTTGTGATTACTTTGAATTTCCTAATCTACGGTTTACCAAAATAATGGTTTGGAATAGTTCGGTAATAGTGTTAAAATTTATAGAATGTAGTAGTAGTAGTTGAGGATTTTTTGAGACAATAATTATTTACAAGACTTTATGTAAGTATTTATATTTCGAATTGAAAATGTTCAGTAAAAGCGACTTTTTAATAATTATCCGAAAGTTATAGACCAAAAGTAAATTGCTATGCATTCCAATTGGCAATGCCTTTCGCTATTTGAAGGTTAGTGGCTGGTTATTGGAACAAGTAAGCTGTGAGTTGGACAACTAAGAATGTAATTACTACACTACGGTGCTATAGTGGAAACGCGGTATCTGTGTCCCATCTCGGCGCGCGCGGCGGTGCCTTTCATGTGCCCGTGCCTTTGATCATGCCGCGCCGCACCGCCCGACTACTTATCGGCTCAGATTTATTGTGATTCGGAGGCTGTGCCAGCGGGGAGCGCGCTACTCGCCCATTCGTACTTCTCGCAATGCTTATTCATGCGTAGACTATTGATGCGAAAAGTGATTCATGAGGTTCACTACTACTACTTAACGCACATTTTGGCATATACAAATCAAGTCCACGATACAAAAAAGCATTATGTCACATTATCACGAGTTTGTGTTAGAAAGTATGTAAACCAAACAGTTTAAAAGCTACAGTAATAAGATAGCCTCCTGATGTTGTTGATGAGAGCCTTTTTTTTCATGTAACCCACCATATCACCTGCGTTAGTTTTTCTACAATGAAAAAATATATTTTAAAAATATCAAGGCAATCCCGCTTGAATTAAAAATGGATTATAATCCATCAATTTGAAGTCACGAGTTCCGTTTGTCTGAGGCAACATCATAGGTATGTTCTGCTACTGTACCAGGTAATTTTGCTCGTTCACTACGCTGACCTCCCTGAGAAGAACGAGCAAGAAATTCATTGATCTTTTCAAATAAACTAGCTATGGAAATACAATTTGAATCATAAATACGTGGTTATTGGATTGAAAGTGTATTACAGTAATTTTTTCAGTGTACAAAGTCATATTTTAATACGCTAGATCAACAATATAATATACACTAACGCATTATTAGAAGGTATGACTGCTATCAAAAAGTTGACTTACAACGCAGACTGTAAAATGTGATTTAGTTTTAATAAATAAGCCGTTTCTCTTTCGTTGATATATTTTCGCAAATCACTTTTGCCCTAAACAGTACGTTTTCTGCGTCACTAAGAACAGCCAGGATGTTTTTTGCGTCCACCAGCGCAGGCCGGTAGCCGGCGAGGGTTTGTTAAAACGCCGCCGTCACTGCCATCGAGTGTCACCTGACTTGCAATTCCCCGCGTTGTACACTTCACCTACCCCTACTACTAATTAATAATTACGATGCATTGTAACATCATAATAGACATACATTTTGATTTATGTGTAGTCTATTTAGCGGTACAAAGGTTTGGTCAAACTCGTGCATGTTTAGATAATGCGTCGTTATTACAAATTCGACCGCGTGTGGTGTTTGGAGATCATTAATGGCGTTTAATATTTTCGTTAACATATACAGGAGTTTTAGGGCGCGAAGTGTAAAACATCATGTGCCTTTGTTTATTTATTTGACACAAAAATGCAATAATAAGAAGGTTAAGAGTATCCCACACTAACAATTAGGGAATTTGAGATCTCGGATACGTATCCATTAATGACTAGGTGTACAATTTCATTATATTATTTGTACAAGTTGCATTTGATTGCATTGGAATGTTTATTTTTTTAAGGTTGTACTGTACCTTTCATGTAATTTACGTTTAAAATAAAATGGGCACTCTACTTTAAATAGTCGTTAAAAAATTGCGGCATTAACGAATCCTATGCGCACCACCGCAGCAAACCCAAAAGAATCCCTTTATATCGTACGTTATAATTTAACAAGCAACGATTTAACAGACGTATTGAAAAAACTTTATTATGTTCATTGTTATGGAAAACGCGCTTTTATATTAAAACACTTTTAAAAAAGGCCGTCCAACTAATGGGATTGAATAAGCTATAAAGATTTTGAACGGTACAAAGTGGTTTATTCTTTAGCTGTTTGTGAGCAGTAGCGTGCATTTAGGCTGTCTGATTTAGCGGGGGATTATTTGGGAAGCTGGATGTGAGTCGATAAAGTAAGTTTAATGAGGGCGGGTCGTATATTAGTGTCGGCATTATAAAGGTTGGTACCTACTGTCAAAAGGTTTATTGTGGCGGTTGGCTTTATGATAGCATTTTTACAGGCAGATACAAGCTTTGATTGGCTGATGTGCCGCCTGCCAATTATAATGTACTTAAACTGGTGTTCACGCTCATGTGCTGCGAGGATGTATCGTGTACAATGCCACATTGTCGATTACTCGTTGTTTATTGACTTTTTATGTAACACGTCGCTTACGAGTGTTCCTGGAATTCTTGGGTCTCTTTTTAACCTAGAGATGATTCTACATATAATGGAACGACTTATAATTTTATTGCATCGCATTCTAGGAGATATTACTAACGCAGAAGCTGTTTTCGTGGAAACACTGTTAATGGGACAGCCGCTTCTCAAAAGGTGTAAGTACTATTGACAATAATATTGAGCAAAGTGAAAACACTTGAATGTAGTATGTTGTGCACCATTTGACGTAACTATAATTAGTCGCCTGATTTAATAATAGTGTTATACAACAATGATTGTCAAATTGTTAAGCTAAGTACTTTCAAAATGGTTACATGTACATGTCATGAATCCAAATAATTTAGTCTTACTGTTGTCTCTAACAATTGAAAATTGCAGTGGTAAAGAAAATATTTTTCAAACGGTCCTTTATAAGTAGTTTAAATATTGTTTAATAACCTGAGACAATACAGCTATATGAAACCAAAGAATTACATATAGTAGTTAAGATTAATTATACCCATATTTATGTAGACCTATTAATGCAATCCTTTTTAGATAAAAACATACTAACAACATCAGTAATTAATTAACTAGTTGACTAAGTTGTATGCTGTTTTTAAAGAAGTGATGTAGGTTTAAGTACTAAATAAATATTCGCTGGCGATGAATAGTTGTTTTTTTAACAGTAATTTTTACCCGAAAAGTGTTTTTTTTCAAAAATTAAATGTGATTAAATAATTGTATAGTGTAAATAAGCGTTATAGATGCTTTTAGCAGCGCTCGGCAAACAAGTTATAAAATTAAATAATGCGTGGAAAAACAAGCGTGTTTATACCTTACTCAAGGGTCTGTAGTTAAATTACAGGTAGAACAATTTACGAGTATGTACATAATTTACATTTGTTACATTACAAACTTGTACCTAACTATACATATTTCTTCCGTTGAGAACTGAAGTTCTGTAGATACGAAAACTCACACAACAACTTATAGGATTAAATTGTTACATATATTAGACATCAACGTCTGTGCTACCTATTGATAGAGTTTTAGTTTTGGCGAGGTATGAAAGTAGAATTATTAAATTACATTAAAGAAGTTTAAAACATAACCAACAATATAAGTTTCAAGTTTTTAATGTTGATGTCCTGTTTGATGGGCGATGTTGAGGATGTGAGGGCTAGGGTGGTGGTGGGTGGGGAAGACGGTACTCGCGCAGCTCGCGTGGCCCTCTCGCCCGAGTCACGCGCGCCTCGTAATGCTTGCATAATAATAATGACGGATGCCGATCGTGCGGCGGCTCCTTTGATCTGCGGCGCGTTTGATCTCGCCGCCGGAGCTGGTCCCGCTGCCCCTGCGCACAAAAGAGCCGCCTCACCTTTATTCGGTTCGACGCCGCGCGGCGAGTCGTTCGGCCCTTCGCCCTCGCTCTAAATAGAGGCTTTATTTGTAAACAGCGGGAGCGCTACCGTGCGCGTTTTCGGGGCGGCAGTTGGCAGTGGTGCGCGCGCGCCGGTCAGTATGGGGTGTGTTGGATGGCGCTCGGCCGTGCCCGCCTGCGCCTCTCGCAGCGGCGTTTGTCTGCAGTGATGCCGTGTCGCCGTCATCGAAGTAGCTTTCTGAACCTCATCACTTGGACACTTTGTGTATGTTTACATTGTTACACGACTACGCTACGTTATGTTTTTATCAGTGTCGCGACGCCCCGGGTGCAGTTTGTTTTGGTACAAGTGCTGTGTTTTGTTTTGTTTTCACTCATCCGGGCTTCATAACTCTTGTAAAGGGTTTGAACAGGTTTAGTACTTAGGCACATAACTTTTGAAGGCATAAAATTCAAGATTTGCTGTTGACTTTAGCAACTTTCGCCTTGATGAATATTGTTTGTAAATCTTATTACATCTACACTCAGATTAAAAAAAACAATAGGTTTTGAAAACAACCTATAGTTTTGTAAACTGAGCTTCTACATATCTACGTTATTTTCCTTAAATTGTTACAGTTTCTTCTACAAGCATATCCATTAGAGACATAAAAAAACGATTAATTTATCATTTGCGATTAATATATGTAACATAATACTTGTAATCAAAATAAAGCACTGTACGCAAAGACTGGTTTCAATGGTAAAATTTTCATTTGCTATAAACCCAAATTAGGCGCGCTGTGAACCGTAACCCGTTATAACTTTTGAGTTTGCCTCGCAGCTTTAATCTCATTGTATTACCGCGGATTGTTAATAACTTTAACAAAGCAATACTTAACTGTTTCATGAATTAAACTTAATATAATTACGATTTATTTTCGTCTGAATCAATTTATTCGCGTGGAATAATTGCATAAACGTATTGGTGTAAATATCAACAACAATGTTAATTGTTTGTATTGTTTTGCTGCGTCTTAATGAAATGAAATTGTGCGGTAAGTCAGTCAGGTAGCTTAAATATTTATAGGTCAAGCAAGTAACATTTATTTGTACAAGTAAATCGCGAATGAAAAGTTGCTTAGTTTTATGTCGTTTATGTTGAAAAAGAAGTATTGGGAAGGAATACACATCAATTGTACACCTTGAACAATCTATTCGACCGTGTTGAAGGAGCAGGAAGTAAAAGGCCCACCTGCCAAAGGGAGGGAAGGAGAAGAGGATTACGAAGCTTATAGTATTTCGTTGTTTTGACAACTTCAAGTCGTCGCTTAGTCTAAATAACTAAACGTAAACGGAGAAGTGCTATGTATAGAGCTGTACCAGTTCTGTAAGCGTTGTAGAGTTCTCAAAATAATGAAATAGTTCATCTACATTTTATTGTTATCGAAACATAGGTCGTCTCTATTCTATTTACCTACTGCGTAAAGTAATATCAAAGGTGTCAATACCACGGGTCATCAAAACAATAGTGAACCATTTATATTCAGTTCCAATTAACTACCTGATTTGATCAAAGAGTACTAGTTAATTTTCGTGTGTAGGTGAAGTCAGGATCTGAAATCGATGATGATTTATAGATTTTCGTGGTTGCATCAGTAAGTTTTTTTATTACAACAAAACATTAGTACATTTTACTGGTATTTATACACAGTTGGTGTTTACTTTTCCTAATTAATATGAAAATCTCGAACCGTTCAGTCACTTTTGTTGCTTACTGTACCTATGAATACAAATAGTGGAGTAGTAGTAGCCATTCGCATTTTCGCTCGCCGACAGACGTAGTATGTGCAAACGGGGGAACCTTTGATGTAGTCTAATGTTGAAATAATTATATGCGTTACGACTCTCTTTGAGAACAAAGCTAGCGAATAAAAAGTACCTAAATGAGAATTTGATGTCTAGATGTAGTGTCGATTGATAGGAAACAGTGTTTTCATGAATCAACCTTTTTTTTTCTTGGAAAGGTGAAATACGCAGTATGATAATGTGTCGGGGGTTTCTAACTTTTCAGTATACACTATGAATACGGAAGTGGTTAAAAATTTTCTACCAATCCTCTGTGAGAAAACTCGAGGTTCGAAATGATAATTATCACGACTATAAATATATCTTGATATTTATAAAATTAACTGTGTATGTGTTTGTATCAGAGACGTATATAATGTGTCAAATGCGAATCTCATAAAAAGTCACAAACTAAATTGTTTCTGCAAAGATTTTTCTTCGTGTTTTCGTAGTTTTCGCACTCTGACATTTTTAGTAAAAAATAAAAGAGACAAAACTATGAAACAGCATGGATAATTATCGGACATATATCAGATAATTATCATGACAAATAATTTTGACTATAAATATGATACTTATTTCGAACCCTGTTTATATGTATATTCGTGATGTTCAGCAATGTTATAATAAAAAAAACTTTATTTATTGAAGTCTACTTGCATAGAGTGTCTATTTTATTAAAATCTGATACGTTTCAGAATTCATTATAATTTACTTTTGACAAATAAATATGTAATCTTATTACGATAGTTGTTGAATAGTAAGAATAAGTAAACAACATCGTGGCGACAGCGCTCGTTTAATGCAAATGGGTAAGAAGTAATGTACTTGTTTTTGTTAAAAAACATCTTTCTCAGTTCATTCAGTCTTTCATTAGTTTTATTTTTACGATAACTCTCTCTTTTTACATAAGAAGAAGGTGACAGGATATAGTTTTCTACCTCCAGTTAAACAGATAAAAAATATGAAAACTTTTATTTGAAATGGTTTCTATTCTGAAATAAACACAGCAGTAGCTGCATTCTCATCCATGGTTAAAACTGTTTACAAGTCCGTTGATAGAGTTATAACATATAATACAAATACTACATATTATACAAACAAATTCTTTTGGGGATTTAGATATTATCACAATAGGGCAATTGTGAACCTACTGATTTACGTGAAACGAAACGTAAAAATGCCGCAAAGTTTAATCAGCGCAAAAGTGGTGTAACCCATGTAATTTTTTTAATACTATATTACTTTAAATGATAGTATATACATATAAATATTTTACGAGTATATTTGAATGCTATTTTCATGTAAAAAAATAATTTATCATTATATTGGTCGTATATGACTACTACATATAAAATTAATTTGTCTAATTTTAAATCTTAGGGTTATAACATTTTTGAGCCAATAGCCCCAATTATGGAGTAAGATTGTTGGAAAGCTTTTTACGAAACATACATATTACATAGGTACATGTAAATTAATAAATAAACTGCGTTGAAATCGGTTCCCGTAGGAGAAACTTTCAGCCACGGCGCAGGTTGTTGGATTACGATACTCACCAGTATTTAATATATTGACTTGATTAAAATTGGGAGATAGTTCATTTTGTGAATATATCGACACTTCGGGGAGGAAAAGGTGAAAATCAAAATATAAAGTTCACAAAACCACTGAAAAAAAAAACAATATTTGTAAACGTTTTGGTTCATATTTTATTTATTTTTACAAATATGTTTTCGTAAAATTTTAATTTTTTAACAAAAGCAATTTTATTCTTTGACTAAGCAGATCGTAAGAGCTTGAACATATGCTAAAGCATATTATGATATGCTTGGGTATTTAAACCAATCAGTGGCTAATTTTTGATAAAACTGGCTTTACGCCCTTCGTTTTCTTTTTGAGATTCTCGAAGTAGCTATAGCATGTAATCAATAGCGACGAATAACGACACGAATGCATTGTATTATTATACATGTATTACTTCTTCGTACTTGCATAACGCGCTGGTGTTCGCAACTCGACATCCAGGCGCCTATTTTGTGTGTGATGGGTGCAGGGTCCTATTTGTGCCACCCAAGCTTCTCCAGGTATCCCAGCGATCTCTTCGGTTTGCTGAAACTTCAGGGAGCGACCTCGGCACTCCAAAGTACTTTCTTTGCCCTGTAACTGGCCACGCCGGAGCTCTGTAGTAGCATTTGCGCAGCCGTTTCCTCCCTCTTCATGCACGCTCTGCATAGAGAGTCGTCTGTGATACCTAAATTGAAAAGATATTTAGTGTATGGACCACGACCCGTTAGGGCGGCAGTTAGGGTGTGAAGTTCTTGCCTTTTAAGACTGATTAATTTTCGAAATAGACTGGCGTTGAGCATTGGGAGTGTCTCCCTAGCTTGTCTACAAACTGTAAGGGTGGTCCGTGTGTTACTTTATGTCTTCTGTTATTTTGAGGCGATTTTATACCTTTGTATATAGTGGTTCTTGACCATTAGTAGAGAAGGGACACTATGGGTTCTTGTCCTACAACGTCCGTCTCCGACCTTAATCCACTGTAGAGTTTTCGTGTATACACACCTCCATGAGTGCTTGATGGCATTTATAAATAAGTCCCGTGTTAAGGTCCTAGCTGCTCTATGCTTGAAGTCCTGACAAGCTGTCGGAGAGTATTCGGATGGAGTCATTATTTACTCTTCTCGCTATGATTTCTACTGTTGCCAACTTGATACCCATACATTCAGAGTGGAATACTGTGTTGATGTCACCAAGTGGTGTTAATATCCAGATATTGAGGTCTTATGAGAATATAATATGAGAAAACCTGTTCTTGAATTTGTTTTTGATCCATCAGTGAAAACGCGAACCTCTCTGGGGTTCAGTCCCTTGTTGCGATCTGCAAACAATTGTATCTTGTGTTTTTTGTCAAAAATGTATTTTTTTAGGGACCTGGCCACAGCCGCCTCCAGTAGCGGTTCCTCATTGACAGTTTTGTAAAGTTTTACTTTGTTGTCCAGACGCTTGTTCCAGTTCAACTTATTGGCCAGTATTAGTCCCAGGTACTTGAGGTAACTTCAGTTGATAACTATAGTTCTTTACTGAAGACTTTGGGTAGTAGTAGTAGTAACCTTTTGTTTGTAAACATTACTATTTCTGTGTTTGTTGGGTTTACCGATAATTCATATGCTCTGCACCATCTTTCCACAATCCGGAGTGCAGCTTGTGCAATGTCGCAGAGTGTATTGGCATAATTGCCTGTTACCAGTACAGCTATGTCATCAACGTAGCCTACTGTATAGAAATGCTCTTTGTTTAGTTTGGTGATGAGAGCATTTACGGACTAAAAAATTGTTCCAAATAAGTACATACAGGCCATAGTACCCCTCCTTGAAGGGTACTACTTATGTACCTCGCTGCTACGGCCCATGGGGTCTCGTTTGCTGTTGTTCTTTGTTTAAGCATGTTGCTAATCCAGCTGGTGAGCAATATGCATTTATTATTTGCAGATGACATATCCATAACGATTTATTCAAACGGTACGGAATAGTCTATCTCGTTATGTTTATGTTTTCAGAAGGCTGCGTGACACTTTCGCTAGGTCTGCAACTTTAGAGGCCTTTCAAGGCTACGTAGCGTCCTCATATCCATATGGGTATGTAGTGTGGTTTGCCGATGGGTGCAGGTTTCTTTACGTTGTTTTCGTTCGCCGAAAAAGTCATTGTAAATTTCAAATTAAATTTCGCACACAAATTCCGAAAAATTCCAGTGCAGACCCGGATTTGAAGTTACGACTTTCTGCTTGAGAGGATAAGTCAATTAGGTAGTAAAAAATAAATTTTGCCTTTTTATACATACATAATCATGCTTGTCTCTCAATGGCGTAGGTAGAGATCTTGAACCTTCATTTGCTACGTTCCTAATAAATCTCTCGTCGTTTGCACTTGCATATCTTTACATATGAACGTTTTTTCTTGGTATTGTTAATCTGACCATTGAACAGGTTGAAAAGTTACGGAGACGCTACACAGCCCTGTCTAACATTCCTATGAATGTTAAATCACACAGTTTATGTCTTATTTATGACACGGCAATTTGTACAATTCATAACTCTCATAGGAATCGTTTTAAAATTATTTAGCTCCTAATGTTTGCAACAATGTCTTACTATATGTACCATATTTTGTAAAAAATTTTTATTCATTTATATGTTGTTTACTGTTATCAACTTTTTTTTACACATTTTTTACTTTTTGTTAGTTATGTGAGGGATTTGTCCGCAAAAATATCAGAAGTTAGATAACTTTTTCTTTCTTTTTTTTCCATCTATTTGTTAAGGCAACACATGGAGCTTTTTATGAGGTAAGCTCAAGAAACTGATTCCACTGGAAATAATTTTTATTCTATTGGCAATGTTTCTGAGAAACACAACTCTGCCCTTTTTGTTGATTCGGTTTTTTTTATTAGATATACATTCACAAATACTTCTAAGCAGAACAGTCACCAACAATAATTAATTGCTTCGATTCCATTACTTTGATATTTTATTAAAAATAATACGTTTTATCAAAAATAATACAATAAAAATACTTACTAAATATTGTTAAATTACAATTAATAATAAACATAAAAAATCAGTTTTTGATCAATAGGGATGGATAATCGGTCAGGTCATCGGTTTGCATTCCCACCAGAACGAGCTGCGACGGTGCGATTTTGTTCATCCGGTTTTTGGCGCTTGTCGTTATCGAATGTGCTATTTGGTGTAGGTATATGCGACGTGTTGATGCAAGTTTTATACTTCCTTATAATAGTTTTTGAACAATATTTAAAAAAACTATTAGACGATCGAAAACAAAACTATATAGAGTGTGTGTTTAATCTAAAAAAAACTTTTACATATAAGAGTTAGTTTTTTGAGTCAAGCCTGGGATAATTTTCTACATGCCGTGGCCCTTCTCATTTTCTCAAATCATCGTTTCTCAATTGAAAATATTTAATGACACAAAGTGATTCTAAAAAGTTCTGTATATTATTTAACCCAAAAGGGTACTCTTTCCATTACAATTTTTACTTGTAGTATGAAGAGTAGAATCTGTTAATAATCGAATCGGATAAAAAAGGTTTATAATCTATGAGATCTCACTTTGACAATGACAGTTGTTAGTTTACATTTTGGGACTTGAATTTCATCTCAGAGTATAGAAGAGATCTCTTTTAAAGACAAGTTAGTTCACTTTTGCTCGCTTTTTATATAATTTATATTTCTTTTGAATTTGTTCCATGTAATAAAGATTTAGAAAATATAAAATAAAATCTTATACTTTGATTGTTCTTCATCACAGGCCGTGTTGACGACAGCCAGTGAGAGCTTACCACCCGACAGTCTGCGGCTCGTGTGGCTCTCCAATTCTTCCCTCACCTGCAACGATGGAACACAAGCCGGGTACGTAATACATTCTTCAACATCTTATAAATGTAATATTATTTCGTAAAGGTATTTTTATTGTACAATTATATTGGTCTTCAGGTACTACATTCGTCGAGGTACCAATATTGATCACTGGGTGGTATACCTCGAAGGTGGTGGCTACTGTTGGGATACAACGTCTTGCGAAGCGCGTTGGAGACGGCGACCCGCTCTCATGTCCTCCTCGCGGTGGCCCAGAAAGCGCCGTGCTCCTGCCCTACTATCCTCGGATCCAGAAATTAATCCTCTTTGGCACGCATCAAACCATGTTCTACTCCCCTACTGCACTAGTGACATGTGGACAGGTACTCGAACTAGGCAGAATTACACATTTTCTTTCGCCGGACGTCTTATCGCGAGAACTGTGCTCTCCGAACTCCTACGTTTTGGCCTCTCTGGACGACTTCTGCTCGTCGGATCGAGTGCCGGCGGAGCGGGAGTCATGCAGCATGCAGATTACGCCAGGCGACTGCTGCGAACCAATGGAATCAAAGTCGCAGCGATTGCGGATTCAGGATGGTTTCTTGACCGACCAGGTAGAATTAAACGATCAGCTGATACTGTGGCCAGATTAGGACATTCCCTCTGGCGTGGATCTCCCCCAACGTCTTGTGCGAGAGAACATAGCGACAGGCCTTGGTTGTGTTACTTCGGATATCATCTTTATCCACATATAAGGACTCCACTTTTTGTGTTTCAATATTTATTCGACTCAGCGCAATTAGCTGCAGAGGGCGTGCGAGCACCGAGAACAAGAGCACAGTGGGATGCGGTGCACAAGACTGGTGCGGCGTTGAGGGAAAGTCTGAAGACTGTACGTGCGACCTTTGCTCCAGCCTGTTTGGCCCACGGAGCTCTAGCACGACCGGAATGGTTAGCAATTAATGTATCAGGTATGTAAAACTCCTGTTTTTCTTAAGTTTTTATGACACTTACAAGTATTATTAATTTTACTGACATGCATAATAAACATACCAATTTCTTTTTTCAGGTGTCTCACTACCACGTGCCATCGCGTGTTGGGAGCAGCACCTTGGAGCTGGAGGAAAACGCCTCAGGCACCAAGTAGGATGTGCACCTCGTCGATTAGTGGAGAGATGTTCGTGGCCGCAATGCAACGGGTCATGTCCTAGATTGAGAGATCCAAGGACAGGGGAAGAAGTTGCATTGGCTGCTTTACTTCAAAGTTTCGGTTTGGATGTGAATAGTGCAGCGGCTGCGATGGGTATTGATGCGCGCGCCCTCTCGCGGATGAGTCGCGCTGAGCTACTGCCATTGTTAGCTCCCCACACGTGATTCCTGGCCTTTAAAATTTTAGCAATCTTGCTGTGTTGCTATGCGAAGAGACTGTTCGTGCTCAGGGCACGGTAAATCTACCTCGTTAATTGTTGCACAAATACAATTTAATGTTTAGATATTATTTATTGTTTACGGATGCTAATGTATCTATTTATATGACGTAAGTAAATTTCTTGTAATTTGTACATACACATATCTTATTTGTGTTCCTTTCATTGTTTTAGAATAAAACCAATATAAACTTAAATACTTACAATTAAAGCAACAAATTGTGTCTTATGTAACATATTATATCAAATTTAAATATTGATGAAATTACGATTAAAAGTAAATAAAATTCAAAAATACTTTGGCACAAGTTTGTATTTTATGTACAAAATTTCCGTTTCTTTTAGAAACGATGGACTAGTTTTCGCTTAATCTACGAATAAAATACTTAAAAATATCTCACTATGGTCCGCTGTAATAATATATTGTGTGGCAGTGTTGTTTGTACAGCGGATATATCCGATCAGGGGCAAATAGGTGAATCAGGACAACGGCAGCACGGAGCGGTTTCGCGCGCGCGGAAGCCACGGGGAGCGTTTGATGGCAATTGTCTGAGTTTTGAACGGCGTTACCACGAGCCCGCCACTCCGTCTATGTTTGATGTGTCATAAACGTGAACCACGTTCCTTATTGATTATTATTGAAACGTCAATAACGTCGTTACCAAGGAAGAAATCAGTGGACACGATACTTGCGTGATGTCGCCACCGCGTGGTTAGCCTAGTTGTAACATTACGGTTGACGGCGTCTGCGTTTTCTCTAAGAGATCCTCGGAGAAACAAAATATCCAGGACTGTTGGTGTAGTCTGAGCCATCGCTGAGTTCAAAGGCGACCGCGCATACGGCTGCGGTGACACCGTAATGGCTTGGTCTAAGAACTGTAATAGCTCCGTTGGGTTATTTGTATTCGCCCATAGGTGGGGCAGAATTGGCCACAACCAGTTGTTCTCTGAAAATATAACGGAAGTTGTTTGTTTAACCCATAATAAGATGCAACCTTCACATGACATTCATACACTGATTCTTATGTAGGTTGGTTCATTATAGCAATTGCAAAGTTCTTTATTTACATATGTCTACGCTTTGCTTTATGTGATGAAATCGCGGAAGCGTAACGAAGTGAAGAGCGTAACGCTGCATTCAATGAACACAGATTGCATATTAAACACGACAATTAAAAGTAAATATGGTGACAGTGTTGTAACATCTTGTAGAAAGTTGTTTTTTTAATGTGTCACGACTACTTTAAGATGCATATAAAAAGAACTTTATTTATAAGTAAAAGTCAAATCTACTGACATCAAGATTGTAAGTTGTCATTGAATAAGTAATTATCACGCTGTGATCTCGCTCTATACATCACATTTATACATTCGCGATCTATCTAAGTAAATATCTATCTATCTAAGATTTATCTGAATGAGGAGTAAAGGATCCGATCGATCGTGGAGACGTTATCTATTCGCCCCACCACTTATTTTGGAGGTCTCTTGAAGCGAGTGCAAACACTGTTCACATTATTTGTTTAGCCAAATTCTGTCCTAGAAAGATATCTACAATCAATGTTTTTTTTCGTAAAAAAATTTATAATTAGATTTGTCCCGTTACCTGTTCAATGGTAGAAGTAATTATTACTTAATCTCAATATTATTTACAGTTATCTATTCATCATGTGATTAATAACACTAATTAATGACAAGGACATATTAATATTATGATAAATTCATTGTTTGATATTATCAGCAATTTGTTGCTTAATTTGTCGATCAATTTGCAGAACTTGAGTGAATGACAGCCTTGCTTCTATCGCATTATGACTTTATAGCGACCGTGTAAAATATTTGTATAGAAAGGTACTAAGTTTGTACTAATCGATATCATTGATATAAAGATTATACATGAAAATTAAAGATAATTAACAGAGTAGTGGAGTAATTTCATAGAAAATAGATAGATATCATGATAGTAAAAACATATCATGATGTTTAATAAAAATAAAATAATAGATACTAAGTGATAGGAACTGCACAGCACTTCTAGCGGTCACAAGATTCCTCTTGTGCCGCTAGAGGTGCTGTACATTTCTGCCCTACTTATCATAACTAATGTAATGGATATTTTTAGCGGAATTAAGCTATTAACATATCTCAGCACACACACACCTTTTGGGGTCAGCGAAATGAGATGCACAACACCCCATAAGCGGTTTTTTATATCTTATTTACTTTAAGTTTTATTGTTATACAAAACCATGGTAATTGACATTTTTACAAAATAATTTAGGTGCTAATGTAAACTCAAAAGTTAGCGAAATGCAAAGGCGTAAAACATTTGACAAATTTGTTAAATATTTTTCGCGGTCGCTACTCGCAAGAGACAACTGCGTAACTCATAGTAGGGGCACAAATGTTTGGCTGAATTAAAAAAGAATATTATTGAACCCATTAAGAGTAAGTCAAGTAATGTTGATAGTATTACTCATTACTACTAGAATTATTGGCTAATGTTATTGAAGTAGCGGTATTAGAAAAAAAAATGTTGAGAGTGGTTTTAAACGTGTGGTTCATCGTGATCTGAATTGTAAATTGTTTCCTGTCGAAAATAATTACTCGAAGGAAGACGCAATTATGCTGATTGCCGTTCGTTTTCAGCTGCGATTTATAATTACGCTGCCGAATAATCATGAAAGCAAGGACTGGGTTTGGAATACAAGAAGTGTCACCAAGTTTAATTTGCGGCTGAACAAATTTTAACTTAACGTCTTGCTTATTCATGTAACTTGTCTTAGAGAAAATGTTAACTGTTTAGAAAAGTTGGTAATATATGTATCTCATTATGGCAGTGCCTTCCAGTAAGATACGTGGCAGTATTCATTATCTTCACTTCATATAATAGTAACGGGTGTATGTGTGCGATGTGTATGTACTCTACCTAATATTTACGTAATAGTACTTATGTCATATACAAACGTACCTAGTTTACATTGTTCATGATTAGATTTCCTTGTCTAGGGAAAACTTTTTACGCTATGTTTTTTGCTTTCTGTATTCGTACGTATATACAAAATACAAACCCTAAATATCTAGGGTACTTAGGTCGGTGCACTTTATGAGTAAATAGGTGATAAGTTTCAAGGCAAAACTTCATAAGGGATGTTTGCAAATAAAATTGATTACAAACGAGTTGAAATTTAAAGACATGAATAATTGAAGATTAAATGACGTTTCATTAATGTATAATGTCAATTAACATGTAAACTAGATCACCTGCAACGATAGCATTGTCCACATAGCTGAATAACAATCGAGTATCAGCTTCTATGAAAGACTGCAATCTTGGCCCTTTGGATCCAGGGCCTGTCAGGAATTCACTAGCTTGGGCTAAGTGTGGTCCTAATTCTCTTTGAACCAGCTCAATGAGACCTCGATGAACACTCTTAATGGGAGATCCATCTTGGTTGTAGAAGCCCATTGGGAAGTGATGAGCATCTAGAAACACCACCTGTCAATGAACAAAAATAAAAGGAAATGAAAAAATACATAATTGTTTATTATTAATACAAAGATCGAACAACAGAAACAAACAAACGACAAAATTAATTTCGATTAGACTGGACTCAAATCAGCATTTATTGCCTGAATTGAGGTACAAACCGAGTCAGTAGGTCTTATGGGACGCAGGACGCACAGTGGGACGCGACCTGCGTGAGAGCGACATCTCTATGCGAGATGTTTGTATTGAGTTTAAACGAGTTTTTAGCTGTCCACGGCTCCTGTGAGAAACTTAGGAAAGTTTCCTCACATTACCAGGTACCGTTACAGCTATTAGTTACTGACAAGTGATGTTGTTTTATTAATTGCAATATTTATTTTATTTAATATCATCATAGGATTTTCATTTTTACGGCAAAGAAGCCGTTAAAACCAAACCAAGTCTACTTACAACAGTTATGTAATTTTGCATACATGCAAATTAGTGAGATTGATTGACTCTCATGAAAGTACAAAAATAATAATACAATATCTGAATCGCAATTCCTAAGCATGCAAACTTGAACTCATTTGTTTATCACTGTTGTTTTCGAAAGTGCGTTGTTGTCTATGAGATTAGGTTAAATTTTATGTAAGCGCCTTCTAGGTAGGCTTGTTCCATCCTCGATTCTATCGTCTCTTGGCCTCAAGTGACATTTAAATATTTACCTAAAGGTAACTTCAAAAACGGGAGGTTCTAAATTCGGCTGTATGTTTTTTGTATATGTATGTTATGCGGCATTTGTGAACCGATTTTGATGATTCTTTTTTGTTGGAATGAGGGTACCTCAGAAGCGGTTCCATTTCAATTTGAAGAAAATATTCCATCTCTAAGCGTAGTAAATTACGGGATGAATTACTTTTGAGATCGGATTTTTCAGTACTCTTTACTCCGTATCGGATTTTTTAGTACATCGTACTGTCTTATTAGTAACGACGTTGAACTGAATTTGTATGGATTAATCGGAAATTTACCTCTAATGTGTGATCCAAAAAAGTTCGAATTTCTTTCAGGAGTGGTACTAATGGACGGACTCGAATTAAGTTGTGGTTCAGCCAATACCTGAAAACAAAGAATATTTAAGTGATATTAATTATTAACATTAATCTTAAGGAATTTTTGTTACGTGTCTTTATTTCGAAACAGTAGTTCTGTTTTCCATTATAACATAAACACTTACGATTAAAATAAATATGCACGCACGACAAATTGTTGGTTGACGATATTATAAAATAGGTATATGAAATTTAAACAGTGAAAACAGCCAAAGTTTAATTATCCAAAGGGACTAAGACTGTTTTCTAATGTAGTCAATTATTTTTTTTAATTTTTCTAATTTTCTTAATGAATAATAAAACTGTGACAATCCGAAAACACGCGGCATAATCCATGTACGCCGAATCACTCCCTAGCCAGTTAAAAGTACCTAAAACCTGCAGCGAGCCGAAAAAGTTTCAATATAATGAATAATAATAATTTAAATTCATACTCATCATCATCATCAACCCATTTATACGTCATACTGGGCACGGGTGGCTCAGGCGAGGGTCTAGGGTTTTAAAATAAATTTCGAGACACTCAGAGGTGCGAACCCGAATTCGAACCCACTTCATCTGCTTGAGAAACGATAGGTCAAACCAATAGGCTACCACGGGTTTTTTACTTTACCTACTTAAATAGTCTAAGCAAATTACACTTGAAATCGTCACATTGATTAAGCTCTACTGCTCATTCGTAAGGCAGATTCCCCTGAGAACAATGAGCAAGAAACTCTTGGGGTTGCTGTTTACAAATAAACATTTGTACAGATTTATCATTCACAATATTTTTCAAACTTCGATCGAGACTGGAACACCTAAACGGGTCACTACCACGGATTATTGTCATGCAAGGACGCAGAAGCTTAGTCCTACCGCGAATAGAACCTGAGGCCTCCTCGTCTTGCGCCCACAGTGCAAACCGCTGGGCCTCCGAGATTGTTAGTATAGTATATGAACAGATAAGCACTTTTCATATCTCAGAAGGTGAATTAGTTCCTAAAACGGGGAAATATATAATTCGAACTTCGGTAATGAAATGGGTAAATTAAACAAAGTTCTGACGCCTTATAGAATTTTTGATTTCAATTGGTATAATGTTCGTAACATGGTAAGTTCTAGAGCATACAAATTTAACTTTGCATGACTAACGAGTTCATTCATTGTGGTTTTGTTATAGCCATTATTTGCTTTTATGTAACCCGATCAAGGAAACCGTGCGCGACTGCGGACCACCGATCACCACTTCCACGTAACTTTATCGCACGTAACGCCGATCTTTATTATTAAGTTATTACAATTCTGAATTACAACTAAAGATGTTCCACGTTGTTTGTTTATATTACAACTTTAAGTACGAATAACGTCACGTTTGTCTGTTCACTGGAAATTGAAACAACACTACATCATATACGATAAGACTGTCCAAAGTTCAAAGTGGAAAACCAAATTTACTCTTGGCTATATGTGTTTATTTATTATAGAATTTAATTTTATTGAGGTACAGGTTAAAGAACATTGATTTCTCCTAAAATATACATTAACCTACAGAGAAATTTATCCTACCAAATAAATACAAATACCTACGGAACTCATAATTTTTTGGCATTCTACAAAAACTCGGATTGTATAAGCTTAACTACTAGATTGTAAGTACTAGTACGTGCATAATTTTATATTGAATGTCCTACACTACATTCTCGAAGTGTCACAGAAGCTAAGCGATTTTATGGCACAACTGCTCCAGATTTGCAGAATCATTGGACTTAATAAAGAACTCCAACAAACAACGCGCGGTGCTTTCACGATCGAAAATGGTCCGTAGTGATTAAATTCCGTGGATTAGGTCCGGTCAATCTAGAAATCATATTTATATTTACCTGAAGAAGAAACGTTATGTTTGATAAAATGTCGTCTTTATATCAGCGGAACCAGCAAATATTTCCTTGTTTCCTTTCACTTTCAATTGATACTCTGGTTGAATAATCTTAACGTTTAGTTTGTATTGTATTCCGAGTCGTTTGGTTTTGTTAAGCCCCGGTGAGATTGTAAAAAAAGGTTTGCTCGTTATTTTCGTGTCTTTGGATTTACTCTTATAACATTTTTCCGATCTACAGACGTCGGTTAAGTTTAACCTGATTCTTGCATTAATGACGTAATCAATCAAATATTATTTGTTGAATGTGGATAGCATTTAGCGAATAAACGAAGAAAGAGATTGACGACAATTGGCAACTAATAAACGAAAATTACCAAGCGAAAAAAATTTGATTTTTGACAACAATTATTTATTTATATTAACTCACCTATCTTCCTTGTTTTGATAAAACTCATAATAAGCAACTCTGAAGTCGAAGTATCTGATACCATGAACAAGCTGGGCCCAGACGGAGCGGTCCTGACAAAGCACGAAGCTGTCTCTTGTGACTTTACTGAGTTCTGTGTTGAATCGCCAAGCGCCTGCGTTATGAGTACCTGGGATCACCAAGTCACCGATGCGGAGAGCGTTGATAGTATCACTGAAATAATAGAGTAGTATTGGATGGTTTTAGAAGTTGTTGGTGGTATACGAGAGTCTTTACTTGTTTGAGCTACATAATCTTAAAATAATCGAAATAATTAAAAATTTTTTATATAGTTGGATAGATAGGAATTATATTATATAAGACGCATTTAAAATACGCAAAGCAAGAAAAAATTAGAATGATTTATGACGGGAAGTCTTTTTCACAACAGTGGCAATGCGAGCTAGCAGAGGCATAGAGTAGTACGTGCGAACGCAGGGTGCACAATTTTTCACATGCACATGCGCAGAAAAGATAAGAAATTCAAAAGTTCATTTCCAATCACTTACGCGTTATCCTCCATCCAAGTGGGCTGTATCTTTAAACAATTATAAGCTTCTATCTGATCATCTCCAGCTCCAATCCACGGCCATAGACAATGTGGACCTTTAAGGCCCGGTCCTATGTTCCAGCCAGCGGGAAGCGAACCTTCTCCGAGGGATGTATTAGTGATGTAGTAGCCACTCTCCTTTTCGATAACGAGGGCAATTAAGGCGTTATGCCATGACGCTGGGCGATCATCGAATAGACCTATCTGTGAACAAAAATCAACATGATATGCCCAAAGGTATCAGTTGCTGAAATGATATTTTGCCTTAGGACCTAGAGCAACCTAACCATTTCATCGAAGTGAAATCTATACAAGATAATTTAGCAAAGACAAGAGTGCGTAATTTTAATGTGAAGACCAGAAGATTGAGCTAATAAACGTATGTCCAAGAAGCCAAAGCAAACCCCGGTTGATGTAGATATTGATCAATAACAAAAGATGCTAAAATTAACGCCGTAGACCCAACGATGACGAAGGATACCACTGACGATGTAAGCTTAGAAAACCGACGTCAATTGAAAATGGGGATAGGCTGGAGGAAGAAAAATTATGAAGCGATTTTCTTTCGCTTCATCCCATCTAACTATACCTAACATTTAAATCATGTTTCATTTCTCGCGTACTCCCAACAATCGATGAAGCTCAAATACCATAATATATACTGTAGTATAACTACTACTTAAAAAGTCACTCAATGAAAACAGCATATTACATGGTGATAAACAAACTTGTTTTCCATGTAAATGATTTGTGCAAATAAATACATATTAATTATTTCGAAAACTGTTTACACGTAACCTTAACATTAGGTTCTGACAAGTCCGGTACAAATTCACCTACTTCCCGTCAGCTGCATGCTAATTTTACGTATACCTACATAATTATAACAATAATATAATCAATAACTTGGTTTCCAAAATTGGTTGGTAATCAATACTTAGAGTATTACCATATAATTAAAATTTACTACCTTTTCCACGGCAATTCTCACGCACAGTGAACTGAATGCGCAGAATGGCTTCAACTATTATTAGATTTCGTAATGTATTGAAAGGTAAGTGCGGTACAAAGAGCGTTTTGATGATAAGTGACGTGCTCTTCAATGGAGCGGTGTCACGTCGGTGCTACCGGACGTCACGTGATTTACGTAACGAATGCGAGTTCATTTCGAGTGGGTTTGTCAATAGCTCACAAGATATACACTCAAGAAATCTTGCAAAATATTTGTTCTTGTTCTCTGTGTGAAGTTCGTCACTTTTGCTTTGCGATTCAAATATTGACTTGTAACATTTGTCACGAAAGATACCCTTGGATGTTTAATGCCAATATGTATTGACATTAAAAAAGTGCGTACTTACATAAATATTGAGAATTTGATTAGAAAGAGAGAGCGAGAGTAAATATGTTCTCTCAAATTAAAATTCATCTTTGTTGCTCATGTGACTCACATAATATGTTTTTATCTACACATTATGTGATTATGCATCTATAAAGTCTATGTAAATAAGTACAAAGTATAATATTAACGTAATAAGATAACATTATTTTTTGTGCCAATATAGGTTGTTTCAAAAGGGAGAAGTAAAATTTTGACGTATGTACCCACGTTCTGGTCATTATTAACAAGAACTCTTGTGCTTCGACTTTTAAATTTTTTTTCAACTTCACTAACGATGTAGATGAAGACAAAGAAAACTGTTTAGTTTCAGCGAAGCAGTTGAAAATTAGCGTCACTATTCAGCTGCAAGGAATCAAAATGTTTCTAGCAAGAGGCAGAAGTGTATTGTTGATAGCATGAGCGTCTATTTTAATTCATAAAATTTTACTTTGTAAAAATTTTTCTGATTGAATACTTCTACTTAGGTCAGCATTCCCAGACTTTGATATTTATTTCTTGTACATATTAATATAATTGGACTCTTTCGTATACATTCTAAATAAACGCTTACCTTCTCCGGTATATTAGAGCAGCTGCTGAAATCCCAATTCAATTCCAAGGCGTCAATTAGGGTCGTATCCTTTGGTCGCATAATTGTTTTAGAATTTACTGTTAACCACACTCGGCCACATAGAGACTTCTCGAACACTTGCTGTTCAGCTATTAAACATAAATATAACACACTACAATTAAAACTGGTAATATTGATTATTGATGAGGATATTAATATTGTTTTTTGTGAAATTACTCCACTTTGTTAATACAAAGATCGAACACAAAGAAATATTCCTTGGACCTGACAGGACTCGAAGCTGCGTCTGCGCCTGTAGGTTTTTTTTTGGTACCAAGTGACGGGACGGAAAAGTCGTGGGCCTGATGGTAACCTACACGCCTGTCCATAACAGTTGCAGTGCCACTCAGAGCTTTAAAAGACAAAGATGAGGGGCACTGTCTGCCTGCTGTACAGCGTGGTTATGGGTTCAAGCCTTCGAACTGTATGTTCGAACTTTGTATTAACAATCATATTATGACTAGTGGAGCTATTTCACAAAAAATGTCAATAACACAAATAAAACTGGGTTACAATTATGTAAATTATTAAGTAGATTACTGAAATACATCATAAATGCAAAAAGTTTTACAAGTTGAAAATAAACAACAATGTGCGAGGCCAAGTATTACAAATATTATGTGCGTGTATGTAATATATAGCACTTTCACTAAATCAAAGAAAAAGCGGGTGCCACATCGTATAAAAAAGTCAAAGAAAAAGCATTTCGGTGGGTTCAATTTCGCTGACTGAGACTTTAATGTAGGTAAGATAGAGATGGGCATGAATTTCTGACACAAATTCCTTTCATTGTAAAAAACGGCAAGTAAAGTTGGTCCGTCTGCATCTTGATTGTCCCTGCAAAATGTTCATCATCATCAACTGATTTATACGTCCCACTGCTGGGCACGGGTCTCCTCTCATGCAAGGCTTTAGGCCATAGTCCGCCACGCAGGCCCAATGCAGGTCGGGGACTTCACACGTTTTCCGAGGGTTCTTCTTCGACTTTCTTCGATGTGTAGGTCATCATGATGTTTTTCTTCGCCGAAAAACGAATAGTAAATTTCGCACATAAATTCGGAACAACTCAAAGGTGCGAGTGGTAGGCCAAACCATTAGGCTAGCACGGCAAATTTTTTTCAAATGCTATTTATTACGCTTTTAAAAATTATTTAAAGAAAATCTGAGGTAATTCGACGGCCTCCGCAGTTTAGTGGCTTGCACACCGGTTTTCATGGTGTCGCCATGTCTGAGGTCCCGGGTTCGATCCCCGTCCGGGTCAGTGCAGAAAATTAGCTTTTCCATATTGTCTCGGGTGTTTGTGGTACAGTCGTTGTTTCCGATTTCCATAACACGAGTGCTTTAGCTACTTACTTTGGGATGAGAGCAACGCTTGTGATGTTGTATAATTCTATTTACATTATTTATTTAATAGTAACGATAACAGAAAAGAGAGCACTTGTGTTTTCTTGAGAGAAGATTCTCAAGAGAATCGCATTCTTGTTTTTGTCGTACTGCTTGCTTGGACATAACGAAGACGGATTTATCTATTTATAGTAGGATGATTATTTAAGTATCTATAGACACGTTTCACAACGCGAGTGTCAAGACCTTACTGTAGTTCAGACAAAGGTCCGACAGTTGTTTTATGAAGTAACTTGATCACTTTAATATCGTTAATAATTTGAAGTATATCATGTGAATTTATAATTGTAGTTTATGTACATTTGACTTTTGTTTCTTTGAACTATGACTTTGCAGAATTAATAAAATTTGATAACGTTGGGATTTACAATATATTTTCAGATCTAAATGTTATTTGTTTTTTAAACAAACCAACGTTTCGGGTTCTTTACAGACCTGTAAAGAAAGAAAATGTTTTCTTTGATTAAAAATCCCACGCAGACACGAGACTGCTCATTAAAATGTATTATTATTTTTCATTTCCCTTTAATTAATTAATTAAATTTAGTGAAAAAATGATATTGTTAAAATAAAGTGTTTGCAAATCGTATATATAACATAAATTGGAATGTGCTTTGGTAATAAGGGATTGAAAATAATTGTGTAACTGTACTTCAGAATGGAGTGGTTTGCTGTAAGGCATATAACTTCACCATCTCAGTCTGCCGTGACCATGGGAAGTAAAGGGCCAGAAACTTTGGTTTGTTTGAAAAAAAAAAATTACGCGATTTACACCGAAGAAATAATTTCAGTCCCAATGTGTACTAATGACGAAAACCTAAGAACACGATATTTAAAAAAGTTGTTACAAAATCAGCACCAACCTACTTACTGCTACTCGTATACGTTATGTATTACTAGTATTTATTATATTTATAATTTGCAAAAAATAAAGTAAATAATTTTCATACAATAAAATAAAAAGGGGAAAACGATAGATATACAAACCATATTAGTGTTGCGAAAACGAGTGATTCGTGCTGTGTACTGTTTACGTTCTCGGGCTTATCTCCGAGAAAAGTTTAAGGAGGCTGGTGTCATGACTGTGGGATTACAGTACATTTA